CAGATAAGCCCTAAGGCTATGTTTTAAATACGCGCGAAAGGAACCATACTTTAATTGCATCGATGCATTCGATTGGCTGCCATAAATAGTCAATACTTGGTTGAGATAAAATTTACAGAAAAAACGTTTGGCTATAAAATTTTTTTATTATAAATTCTTATCTACCGCCTCGCGTGTTTTCTTCATAACTTAAATTACACTATTTTCTTATCGGCAACAATCTCAAGCTATTTTTTAATTAAATTAATCTTACAACTTTTAATTTTATTTTAAATATATTTTTGTTACAACATCGTGAAAGCAACAATAATATATTATTATTATAAATAATAATAAATTACAAAGTTAACTACAGAAGCTATAACTAAAAAAAAAGGAATCCACGTGGGAGATGGAACTTAAATAAGCGTACACTCATTGTATCAGTACATTGTCTGACAGACAATAGATCTTTTAATGTCAATTGATTTTTCGTCACACAATATTCGATAAAAATTCTTATGTTATTTAAATGAAATAAGTCACAGGTGTATTTTTATAAATAATAAATAAGTTGACAGCAAAGTATTCGAATTCAATGTCAATAAACAGTTTTTTGCCACTGATTTAATCTCCCGATTAAAAATTAAAATACTGTACTTAGACTTCTTAACATAACTCTTACACAGACAAATAAGCTCTTATGTACTGAAAAAAAAATAAAATTAGTTGTGACTCACGTTATGATAAATGATAGGCTTAACACTCTAAATAAAACATTCATTTTACAAACAATTCTGTTGCTCAAGACACAATTATCAAGGATAATAATAAATACGTATGTGTCGTTATCTATGTACCTTCTTCCGAGTCATATCGCGTTACGCGGAAACAATTTTATGAGAAAATAGTAAATTACTCCATTTATTTTGTTTAAATAATTAGTCAGCGCTTAGAAATTATCTCGGATTTAATTATTTCACGGTCACATTCTCCGTGAAATTGAGTTATTTTTACGTCATTCATTATATATAAGCTGTATAATTTATTTAGTCTATTTAGTATAATTATTTGTCTTCAGGAGTTCTAAAGCATATACATAAAAATTTACCTATGAAGAAATCGACATATGTTGTAAATAATGGCCGAGAGTTTCAAAATAATTTTGTTAAATTACGACGATACCTGTTTTAGATATATTTCTTCTGAGTTTTTGAATTATAATATAGTAATAATAATAATTATCTTTCAATAAATGGAATTCTATTCCAAACCTTTGCTTCAAGATCACGTAATGCCATTCAGTTCTCTCAAGTCTCTGGAGCATGTAGGCAGTCAGCCGATTAAAGTCGACATTAATTTCATCTCATGCGTGTTGTGTTATGTATACACACAACATCGCAATCCTCGTATAATATATATATATAATACCTATAGACATAGATATAGATATATTCAATACATACTTGTGTAGTTGAAGGACACACTCTCACTTATACTGGTTTTACGAATTTAGAAAATATGTCATCGCGTAGAATCGCGTAGAATCGCACCTGAGTCAAAAACGTACACCTGCAATCCTGATTATTCAATTAAATCGCTCAAGTACTCTGCACCCAGTATACTTGCTTTGCGACAAATTAAATTAAATTTCAAACAAGAAGTACCTCTTGTACGCTTCACCTACCCTTTAATTTACCAATTTATAATTACGCCAAATTATAAATAATTAAAATTAAAATTTAAGATAACTATCTTGTTAATTATTTTTTAACTAACGAAATAAAATTTACCTTCAATTGCTCGTCGAAATTCTCGACGTCGATCAGACTGTCTCCGTTCATTTCAAATTTTAAATTTAACTGATGATTATAATTGTTTAAATAGCTCGTAAAATTTACATTTTTTAACACTGAGTTGTCGAGATACTTTTTTATCAAGATTTCAAAACGCTAATTGTACTTATGAAAGACTTTTGAGTCATTAATTCCCAAAACAAATATAAATATATTAATCACTCAATCAACTTTGAGATAGAAAAAAATCCAGATACTTTTTTTTTACGATGACGCACTGAGAAGTCACAAACCGCTTTGTCACAGCCAGAAAAACTACTATTCACAATAACTTTTAAAAAGTAATAATAATAACCACGTTTATTGATACTCGTCCATTTCACTATTCTTTAAGCAAATAAAATGAAAAAAAAAAAGATGAAAAAAAATAAATCTACTGTTAATATATTAATCTTGAAATGAAAGAAAATAAATACAGAAAAAAAGGTATATTTAAATAGAAATAAAATGTTTATTATTTCGGAGCGTACGAATAGTTAACGCGCACGTCGTCCTTGCACTTTTGAACAGCACCACGAAATTCAAAACTCAAGTCCAGCGAGTTAAGTTTTGCGCTTGCGCGGTTTTTGTTATACTTTATTTCGTTAACGCACGTGGGGTAATTTCAATCACTCCTGCGCATACTATTTATTTATTTTATTATTTTATTGAATCTACAATTCTTTTCCAACACATCGAGTAAACAAATCGCTGTTGGTCACTAAAAATATTTTTTTACGTCGTCAAGTATTCCGAGCAAACATTCGGTCGCAATCAACTATTTATTTTGTCAATCATTTTTTACTCCAATCGCAATCAAGCCCAAACAATATTTTATTCGTTTTTCAACCCTCTAAATTATTCCTCAAGTAAAGTTTCGATTAAAAAAAAATTCAACCTCACCAAAGTTATTGTGATTGAATTTTTATTGTAAATTTAGTCGGTAGAAAAAAAATTATCAATTTTTTCGAAAAAATGTTTATTTTTTGTGAAATTATTTAATATGAAGAAAGAAATTGAACTTATATTTACTAGTTACCGGCAGTTTGCGCTTGCATTTAAGTTTGTGCGGGTGAGTAGCGCGAGCTAAAAGCACGTGGTGCATCTGTCAGGCGCGAAAAAATATTAACTAACGTAATATTATTGCTTAATGAATTTTTATTTGGTTGTTTTCGTTACACTACACTACACTACACTACTAGTTACTTGAATTGACAATTACTGGCTTACATTCACTTACTAGATTACATTATTAACAATATTTAGTGTACGATATGGTAGACAAGACAAGAGCGGCAGAAGTTGGGACGAACTGGACACATGAAGTATGTAGTAGTGTAGCGGCCGGCGTTTATGAGCTCCGCGTCGCAACTGCCGCCACGGATAAAAAACCATACGATGACCTCATCACCAGCTGGTTATATGTGTAATGTGTTCTTTCATTCGCCGTAGACTTATATTTACTACTATCCATACTGAAAATATTTTTTATTTAACAATTTTGTTAATTTAAAACTATTTTTAGTTTTTCTCTGGAAGAAATGTTCAACAAATTTATCTTCCAACAATTTAGATTAAAAAAAAATTTTTCCGATTAGTAGTTTGTCTTTATCAGGTTCAGATGTAATTAAATAATTGAGAAAGTAAAAAATTATAATTTATTTATTATTTATATTTTTTTAGCTTTGATGTTTTAATTTTTTTGAAACAAAAAGCTAGAAATAATTAAAAAATTTTTATTTTTTGGTTACAAGAAAGAAAGATAAAATTTTAAATTACATTAATTGATAAAAAAAATTGTTCTATTATTTAAAAATGAACTCCTCGATAAATTGAAATTTTATGATAGAAGTTTTTTTACTTAATTTGTAGCTAAATAAGTTTTCGCATAAAAAGTTAAGCCTCTTACGCGACAATAAAATTTTTTAAATGCCAAAATAGAGTGCCCTACTTTTGTAGTTTTATTTTTTTTTTCCACTTAAAAGATAATTGGGAATTTTCAAGAACCTTTTGAGAGTACGTATCTCGAAAATGTGAAAATAATATATATATGATGATCTGAAACTTGTCAAAATATCTCATTATTTCAATTTAAATATTTCATAACAAAATTTGTGGGGCTGAAAAGTTATCACAGTATCTCATTGTATCATATTATTTGAATACTGTAATTAGGTTGTATTAATTTAATAATACGAGCAATTATTAACTGTAAATATTTAACTTGGTTATCAAGTCATCGTCATAATTCATTGAATTATATTTATAATAATAATTATTATTGTTATTTAATAATTGTTCATTGACCACACATGTACATACTCTTGTACGCCTACATTATTGAAATTAAATTGAGCGTTAAACAATCGATAAATCGAGCATTAAAGCGCGAATGTATCTTTGTGATGCTATAACCTTTACCCAATAGCTCTACTCGTATTTCAGATTATTATCGTGGGTTGAGGTCCTTTTATTGTTCATTATACTACGGAAGCGGAAATTATAAAAAATTCATAAAAATAAATGTCAAAGTTCTCTTTATTCTCTTACCCAATTTACATTTTTTTGCTACTTTGCTAAAACTATTTTATCACTTTTAATCCTTTAATACTTTTAAACTATCAAAAATCTTTATTATCATTTCATTATTATTATATTTTTATACATTTAATAAATATCAACTAACCAATAATCAATAAGCAACTGCCCAAGCGGCACAAATTTTTTATTGTTAATGTTTTATTGAATTTAAGTTAACGATTATTTATTTTTTAATTTTTTGTTGCGTGAAATCTGACAAAAAGTCAACATTTTTTTTTGTCACGCTCGGGCGATTTAAAAACCCGAGAATTCAAATTACGCGGGAAAAAAATGCGCGCGCATCCAAATATAAGAAGACTTATGAACATGATGTTTACATTGAACATGTTTGCACAAGTAGTTTTAATTTTTCACGTGCGTTGGACGTAACATTAACAATGTATTATAATTAGTGAAATATAAACTTAAAAAAATTCCTCAATTACAAATAAATATTTAAGTATTTTTCGTTATGAAGTGAACGAATAAGTTAATTTTAAAATAATTTTGTGGTTATTTATTCTTATATTTTTCGAGGTTATTTTTGTAATTATTGCTCAGGAATATTTTTATTCAAGTAATTGATGACAAATTACTTGTTAAAAAATGGATAAAACAAATCCCAAGAAACAAAATCCAGATTCAGATAACCCGCAACCTAGTACTAGCACTTCAAGTCCAGCACCAACTGAACGTCTGATGTCGTTTCTTAGTCCACGTAATTTATTACTTGGGAGCAATGATAAAAAACTACGTGGTGCTGGTATCAGAGCTATACCTGCACCAAATTTAAAAGTCCAACGTAAAAAAGTAGAGTACGTATTTTTTAGTTTTTATTTATTAATTTATTGAGTTGATAATTTATCTTGTTTCAACTAGGGATAGTACGCCAGCTGACAATGAATCGGGTTCTGGTAAAAACAAAGGTAAAGGCAGAGGTCGAGGCCGAGGTCGGGGAAGTGACCGTGGTAGAGGAAGAGGCCGAGGAAAATCAAATGCTGTCCAGGTATTTTGCTATTTATTTTAATTATTTATAATGATGCTGAGTTTAACAGACATCCAAAAATTTGGTTATTATTTACAAGTGGGGTCAACTCCATTTTGGGCCATAACTAGATGAAAAATTAACATTTTTTAATTTTTTTTCATTCTGCTTGTTTTACGGCTATTTTATGATAAAAAAGAATGAACATTAATTTAGCAGATATTTGATAATTTTAGGAATTTTTTAAACAAATAAATTATGACAAAAGAAGTAGAAAAAAAATTGACATGTAGAAATTAAAAATGCAATTTTTTAAAAATAATTGTTAAGTAAAATAAAAAATTTGTCAAGTAACAGCTAACTTTAATGTCATTAAAAAATGTCGTGAAAGAAAAAATAAAGATTTCGATAGCTTTTTTGCCTTTTAAAGTTGGAAAAAAAAATTGGCTTTCATGTTTTTGGATAAAACTTCTATTTTATCTTTTTTTTTGATGTTTTTAAATATATTTTTTTTTAATTACATAAAAAAAATGAGCAATTAAAAAAAAATAAAATTTAACATCGCCCAGCATGAGTTGACCCTACTTGTAAATAATTACCAAAAATTTTTTTAATTTATATAACAATTAAATTATAATGAAAGAAATTCTACAAGTAAAAATTCAAAAAAATTATAAGTTCGAATTTTTAAAAATATATTTTTTATAATAATAATTGGTTAAAAAAATTTCAGATTCCTGCTAATTTCAGTATCATTATTTATATTATTGAATTTGTTATTTTTTTCAACACTATTTATTTTTAGTCCGTTGGAATATTTGCGGAAGGAATACAAATAGACGCACGTCCTAGTTCTTCTGGTGGAAGATCTAGTTATGGCGGCGGGAGTGGTGGTGGTGGAGGTGGTGGTGGTGGAGGAGGAGGAGGAGGAGGTGGTGGTGGTGGCGGCAGTAAAGGAAGTATTGAAATACCTACACTCAAATTGGACTATGATTTCGACAAAGATGCTGAGGACAGAGTATTGGAAAAACTGTTAAAAGATGATTTCATCGATGATGGAGATGATGATGATTATGATTATGATGACATAGAAAACGCACCAATTGCTTTGCCATTAATTAGAGGTTTTTATTTCTTCTTTTAATCCCCATTTAATTATTCAATATTTTTAATTATTAATGTTAATTATTTATCTTTATTTTTTTATAGATACAAAAGGAAAACAATCCCTTAAGAAAATAAAAGCTGAACCTGGATGTGACGACGATGAGAGAAGAGCCATCGAGCCGATGGCAGTAGATGAGCCTGAAGAAGAAAGAGATATAAAACCAACGATATTAGAGAACGGTGTTGCTGTGCCTCCATCAGAGCTCAAACCAAAACTTACCAATAAATTCGTTCCACCACCGAGTGATAATTCAACCCAGCAAGTCCAACAAGTTATTAAACAAAGTGGACTTATGATGCTACGAGTATGTTAATTGTTTTTTTATAAGAATACTTGATGAGAAATTCATAAATTTATTGTCTTTGTTTTAGTTTCCAGATTGCCTTCCTGGATTCCCTAAAACTGAAGAAAACGCTGGTCCGTCTTCTGAAGAACATCAAGCCTTAACTGGTTCAGATGATCAGTCTGCGAATATATTGAATAATATAACAAAGTTGTGTACACTAAGAGATCTTCAACCTGGTGTGATAGGTAAATTACAGATACTCAAGTCAGGAAAAGCTAGACTTGTACTCGGTGAGAATAGTCTAGTTGTCGAAGTCGGTTCACGTATTGGGTTCAGACAGGTAATTATAATAAATTATATTTATAAGAAAAATAAACTTGAATAATAATCGATATAAAATGCTAGAATTTTTTTTTTTTTTTTTTTTAATATCAACTATTTTATTTGTTCACTTTATTATTCAAGTTAATTACTTAAAATTGGATAACGTAACCACGGATTTTTTGGAATTGCAGGACATAATTGCAGCTAAGATCAACGACGAAAATAAAGAGATGATAAATCTGGGACCAGTTGATAGCACACTTATATGTACACCAGACTTTGAAAATATGTTGAATCGATTGAATCTTGTTAAATAATTAAGGAAATTTTTTTCATCACTTTGTTATTTAATATCAATTAATAAATAAAATAAATAATTTTGTTTAAATTTGTGTATTTATGTCAATGAATTGATGAAAAGCGTTTATTATAACGCTATTATTTAAATTTACAAATATTAATTAAGCATTCAAAAAAAATAACCACATTTAAATTCCATATAAATACTTGCCATTACATTAATTATTTAATTTTAGTATTATAATTATTTTTGACATACACTACACACTAAATTATGTACTGATTAAAGTAGATATTAGTTTCATTCACTGAGTGATTAAGTTCGGTCTCAGCCGAATCAAACTGATGATAATTATTACTTAAAATTAAAATATTGAAAATATTCTTACTTAACACACATCAGTCAAGTGACACAGTTTTAAAATATGCTCATTCTATTGTAAGTAATTAATCATAAAAAAAAAAAATATTTTTTAAAACATTCAGTCACTTCGTTCGATACTGTGTCCTTTTTTCATTGATTTAAGAGCTTTTTCCCGAAGCTTTTTTTCGAGCTCCTCTGTATTACCTTCACTCACATCTGATTCATCAGAATCGGCAACCTTCTTTTTCTTGTGTTTTCGATGCTTCTTGTGCTTCTTATGTTTTTTGTGCTTCTTTTCTTTCTTTCGTTTCTTTTCTTCTACTTCACTTTCCTAAAAAACAACGAAAATTTATTTAGTTTATTAATTAATTAGTTTACAAAATGATAATATTTATTATTTTACGAAATCCAATTATTTAAAAAAAATAAAATAAAATTTACCTCTGATTCACTGGTGCTAGTTTTAGCTCTTTTTTTGCGTTTCTTTTTAATCTTTTCATCATCAGAACTGTCATCACCTTTGCGCTTCTTCTTAGAAGACTCCTTTTCAATTTCTTCGTCATCAGAACTAGAATCTTTTCTTGATTTTTTAACTTTAACTGGCCGTTCATCATCACTTGCAACTGAATCTTTTTGGGCTTTTCTAGTACGCGATTTCTCTGCATCTGAGGAACTGTCACGTCGCTTACGTGATTTCTTAGGCTCGTCATCAGAACTAGTAGAATCTTTTTTCGACTTTCTTGACCGTGATTTCTCATCCTCACGACTGTATTTCTTAGATTTGGGTTCATCGTCATCAGAAGACGAGTCTTTTCTAGGACGTTTAGATTTCTTAACTTCTTCCTCAATATCTTTTCGCGATTTTCTTCTTAAATCAGCCTCACTTGTATCACGTTTTCTACTCATTTCCATTTTACGTTCTTTATTACGTTCGTCAATTAATTCAGCACGTGTCGTCATTTCTTTAATACGTTTCAATTGATCTGAATGTTTTGTACGTTCATCGTCAGATTCAGAACTACTATCAGCTTTTTCAACTTTTTCTTCTTCAGCTGAACTCTTTCTAGACTTTCTCAACTTATCATTTTTACGTTGTTTAGCTCTTACATCGTCATCACTATCCTCCGAGTCCGAAGAATGATCTAATTTGTCTTTTCGAGATTTTTTAATTACTTCAACGGGTTTTTTAGCATTAATTACTTCTGGGGCTTTTACTGCCGGTTTTTTACTGTCCTCTGCAGGGAGCTTAATTGATTTGAATGATGACCGATCGTCTTTCTTTAATTGAAACACTTCAGTCGGTGGCATGGTTATTGATTTCAAAGAATCTTCTTTATTGTCTCTGTAGAAAATTAAAATAAATTTATTAATATTTCTATTAAATTAATATTCATAATTATTTCTTCGACCATTATTATTAATAAAACTTACTTGGGAGCTACTTTAGTTTTAGCGGCAGCCGCAGCAGCGGCAATAATGTCTTCAGTTTTCTTGAAAGGTGACGGTGTACGTGATAAACTTTTTGAAAACTACAAAAACAAAAAAATATATGTTATTTCCTAGATAATTTTAAATAATTGAATTAATTTTCAATATTTATATGTATATTTCTTCTGTGCGTGTGTTTGTCACTGAACTCCTCCTAAACGGCTGGACCGATTTTAATGAAATTTTTTGTGTCTTCCGGTGGATTCCAGAATGATTTAGATTCACAATTCAGTCCACGCAAAAATGTATATTTAATAGATTTTTTATTTATTAATTGTTGTTAACCTTGAGTACCCACATGCACTTTTCATATATTTCATAAATATCATATATATAAAAAAATTCATGTGGGTAATAAAATAAAAGGTCTCGATAATTATAAAATCAGAATGGACTTATATTTACGAAAATGTTAATAATTAACGAATGACTATTGCTTTTTGTTAACTAATGATATTTTTAACTATATAAGCTCATTGCGATGTTACACTCATCGAGACTTCATTTGAGTACCCACATGCATTTTTCATATATTTTATAAATATCATATATCATATAAGATAAAAGCCCCAATAGATGCTCATGTACCAGTACATGATCACTCCATGATACATGAGCATCTATTGGAGCTTTTACCTTATATAAGATATATAAAAAAATTCATGTAGATACTCAAATGAAAGGTCTCGAGTATAACGTCAGAATGGGCTTATATTTATGAAAATGTTAATAATTAATAAATGACCATTGCATTTTGTTAACTCATGGTGTTTTTTACTATGTAAGTTCATTCTCAAAATTTCTAAATTTAAGACGTATGTACAGGACAACGTCTGTCGGGTCCGCTAGTAAACATATAAATTTAAATTTACCCTGTGTCGGGATAGAGGTAGTGATGTGGCCGAAAGTTTTTTCGGTGAAACATTAACTTCAGTTTTTTTGGCCTGAATAGTTGGAGGGACGGCTGCAGGAATAGGCTCGAATTTTTTAAGAATCTCCTTCTCTTGGCGCTTAGCTGCTTCCTCTTTAGCAAGTCGTTCTTTTTCTCGTCGTTTCAATTCTTCAGCTTGTTCACGTTCACGTTGCTCACGTTCTCGTTGTTCGCGTTCACGTTGCTCACGCTCTCGTTGTTCACGTTCACGTTTTTCCTGAGATAACTTCTGTTCTGCTGATTTCCTAAAAAAATAAATAAATTCATAAAAAAACGGTTAATAAATAAACGATACTAAAAATCATGAATCATACTGTATAAAATATTGATAAAACATACCTAGCTTGATCATCATCAGAAGAACTACTGTCACTACTGTCAGAACTGCTAGACTTAGAACGTCCATTACGAATTTCTTTCCGTGGATTGTCATTAACAATCTTAGGCTTTTCATCAACAGCTTTCTTTTCCTTCGGCTTCTCCTTAGGGACATCTCTAGAACGATCAGGAGACTTCTTGCTATCCTTCGAGCGGTCCAGCGACGAGCGGGCATCTTTCGATCTCGATCTTTTGTCCTTATCGCGACGATCCTTCGAGCGATCTCGCCTGCTAGATTTATCACGTGAAGAAGACCTATCATACCTGTTGGCGCGATCACGAACGTCTGGTGATCGACGTCCGCTGTTCCGGCGATCGAGTGATCTACGACGATCATGGCGCTCCGATGACCTGCGACGACGATCTGGTGAACGTCTTCGTCGGTTGAGACTTGGGCTTCGGCGACGATACCTCAATGGACTTCTGCGTGGAGGACTCCTAAGAAAAAAAATTAATTCAAATGAAAATATTGACGATAGTTGTTGAAATTATTTTGTTAAATTTGTTGTATAATTTAATTTATACCTTCGCCAATCACCAGCGCGACGTGAAGATGGAGGCCTCATGTTACGACCACCGCTATATCTGTCAATACGGTCACGATCTCTGTCATGATCTCTTCGACGATCCCTATCACGGTCCATTGAACGCCTAGTAACGTAGAGGAACAATGAAATTAAAGTTTACATCAATCTATTGATAAAATAAATTCATTTATTTATTTATTACTCTTTAAATAAATTACCTGCGATTACGATCGCGAGATCGATCTCGTGATCTGTCACGGTCTCTCGACCTGTCTCGATCTTTCCTCGGTGAAATACTTCGTCTCTTAATGCCAGATTTTCTTTCGCGACTTGAATCACTATCACTACCACTATCATCTTTGTTTGTTTTACGATACGATCTCTTGGCCTGAACTCCGTCTTTCTTTTTGCGAATTTCAAAATCATTTTTATCCTTGCCACGTTTATCGTCACCACTGTCAGAGCTGCTGCTAGAACTAGCATTTCGTTTTTTGTGATCTTTCCTTTTGCTCGGTGATTTTGATCGTGATTTAGACGACCCGGAGTCACTCGAATCCGATCGAGACTTACGACTCTTACTACGATCCACACTCTTGGATCGAGATTTCTTAGATCGTGATCTTGACTTACTGCGTGAATTACGCGAGCGTGATTTTGATCTACGTGACTTGGAGCGGTCATTAGAGCGTGATTTAGAACGCCGTGACTTTGATTTAGATCTTGATCTGCGTGCTCGTGATTTAGAGCGCGATCTACGTGACCTTGATACTGGTGATCTAGATCTACGGCTGCTAGTTTTCGTTGATGTCGTTGTAGTTATAGCTGTCGATGTCATTGTTGCTGTTACAGCTGTTACGAGTGCTGGTGATTTTGATTTTGATTTCTTTTGACGATTAATAGATGGTGATTTTGAGCGTGATTTTTTTTTTTCATTCTCAGGTGATACCGAACGATTTTTCTTTTTACCATCAGCTATGCTCATCAATTTTGCTTGCAATCGCGATATCGCAACAGCTGCTTCTCTATATTTTAAAATAATTAATTAGTTTAAATTCTAAAAACGTTTGTTATTAAAATTTTAATTCTAACTATTTAAATACTTACGGCTTAGTTTTCATGGGCATAACAGGAATTGCATTTTCTGGTTGAGGAGAATCTTCTTTTTCATTTTTTATATCTGAAATATCTTTACCATTATCTTTAGATACCGGTTTACTTGGCGATTTTGAATGTGACTTATGTTTGCGACTTGAACGATCACGATCACGATGTTTATCCCTTGAGCGACTTCTCTTGCTCCTAAGAATTACAAATATAGTAATAGTAAAACGATCACACATTATACTTAAACTTATTAAATAATTAAAAAATGGTTTATAATAATAATTATTAAAAAAAAAAAACATACCTATCTCTATCGCGATCACGACTGCGATCTCTTTTACGTTCTTTCGAATTACCGCGTTCTTTTTCTTCTTTCTTTATTTTATCATCATCCTTTTCTTTTTCCTTCTCTTTCTCAGCTAGAGACGCTTGTAGTTGCTGTTGTTCTTCCTGCAGAGACAAAAAATTTATAAATATTTAATTACTCGATCAAATAAATATAATGTTAGCCTTGAAGCAAACTCGATCTAAATAAAAATATAAAACGAAGGTAAACTAAAATTAAAAATAATTAACCAGATCCACTTACCATTCGTTTTTTCAACTGATCTTTCTTCTGCTGCAAGAAAGCCTCAGGTATACCGTTGGTACTTTCTTGCGCTGAAACTAATAAGTCCCACAGTTCCCCCATAAACGAACGTGCATTTTTAGCATTGAGAAAACCCGTCAAATTAATCTGCATTTTTCTTGGATCCGGAAACTAGATAAAGATAAATAAAAAGAAATTTTTTTTTTACACAGCTAACTATTGAATTTTTATTAAAATCACTTAGACATTAGCATGCTTTATAATGATTAATATTAATAATTATTCAATAATTCCTCAATCAACTGCTTTTCCCCCTCGAAAAAGCAGATTCATATTTTATTTATATATTTTATCTTACCACCCTCCGTTGCCTATATTAACAAAAATAAAATAACAATAATGCTAGAAAGAAAAATTAGCATTAAAAACTGGATAATTAATGTGTACACCTAGATACTTCTCATAGTGAAACAGACATCAACCTAAAACATTATTATATTAAATAAAAAAGCTGCAATTAAATATACATTATCAAATGATTAATAAGATTAATAATAATAATAATGATTGTTAAACATGATTAAATCCATAATTTAAATCCGTAGTTACGCGTAATCACCAACCTGTCACATCAATGAGACAGAGAGTATCTACTGCCATGTTGTACATGTACCCAGTAGCTCGTAAATAACACACATTGATTGATACCTCCAAGAGCGTTGAGTTAAGTCCCAGGATACGACGCTCGTCTGTTCCTCTCGGTGATCTTCCTGTCAGCAGCAAGAGATTGAACAGCACTAGCTTTGAACCGGAATATTGGAGTTGTGGTTGTACTCCAAATGCCTTGGGGCGCTGTCCAGATGATATTTACATAGCTCTGCAGGCAAAATGTAAGCCGGTGGTCCATGACAGCAAACAGAAGATATACCATCGACATCTTATGATGTCAATGACGATGACCAGCTCTAGGAGTGCCTAGTAATTAGGCAAGATGAATCCCATTTGAGATGGTGACTGATGCCCATATTGATTGAGTCGTACTGCTACTGTTGCTACTGCGGCTGATGGTGAAGTTACTGCAACTGCAACTGCTGCTGCTTCTGACGATGACCATGATGATAATGATGATGATGATGATGATGTTGATGAAGAAGAAGCTGTTGATCACAGTTGATCTGGTAGGAAGAGCTGACAAGTGTCTGCGATGATTATTAACCCAGCTGACGATGGATTGAATAATGCCGAGACGAGAAGACGAAGAGAGGAAGTAGTTTGAAGACGAAGTAGAGTGAGATGGGTGTCATCCCGAATGCCATTTGGACAAATCGGTTGATAGAGCCCCACCACCGATCGGACTCTCTTTGTCTCTCTTTCTTTTCTACTTATACTAACGGAGAATTCAAAGACATGTGATAAGACATTAAAATATATTATACAATTAGATATTCATTGTTATTAATTCTTGCATTATGTTTGTATAATAATTATTCTATTTAAAAAAAAAAAAAAAAAATATGTAACTTGATCGCAGTTAAAACCACGAATTAAATTATAATTAATGTAAACAAAAGCACAACAGACTAAATAGTAGCCTTAATTTTTTTTTTGGATAAAAAAAAAAAATAAAGTAAATATCCAAAGATCCGATGTTTCGCAACATCGTAATTTACAAATGTTGACATGATAAATTGTGCTGAAATAATATTTAATTTGCATTTGTTTTGTTTCCTAAGATGAGGGGAAAAAGCCTAGTGAGAGTATGTTTTATTTGGCTTGGTATGATGAATTATTAATGTAATCTAATTTTTTAATATTAATAATGTTATTAATTACTGATAGAGAGCTTAATTAAATAATTTACGAGTCATAATTTGGAGCCTTACCTTCTCCTCAAGTTGATTATAAACAAATTCGACAACTACGTCGTCTTCCATACCCAGAATTTGAGTAATTTTTGTAGTTATCCATGGCTTGATTGTATCAAGCTTCACCTTGGTCATGTCGACCTAAGAAAAATGTATAAAAATAATAATAATAATAATAATAAGAAATAAAAATGATAATAATAAGAAATAAAAATAATAATAATAGTATTAATAATGAAAAATAATTATTACAGCAATTAACTGATAACAAAGATATAAACTACCTTCTGTGTTAAAGAATCCCCGAACTTCATTTGTTTGAGCAGCTTTTTCTCCTTGTCACTGAATCGCGTATCCTGTGATGCAGTAGTACCCTATTAATTGTTAATAATTTTATAGCTATATCTAATTAACTAAATAAATAATATCAACGATCATCTACAGCATACGTAACAGGTTACGACTATAAAAATGAATATTAAAAAATGTATAAAATTGTAAATGAATCATAAATATTTATTTAGTCATTAGTAGCGAGTTTTAAATAAAACTGATAATTTTACCGTGTACATCATCTTGTCAGGAGATTGAAGTTAAAACCCCCGATGTTCCGATGCCACAACACCACACCACACAAGCTGATTCTTCAGCCAGGAAAATTAATGTTTATCAAGAAAACAATTTCAAGGTTACTTAAAGGGATTATTAATTGGAATTTAATTAAATAATCCAAACGGATTATTCAAGATATTTATTTATGATTAATTATTATCATATTTATCGTTAATTCATCAGTATATAGACGCACACACATATATATACGACACACTAAAAGTTAGGAGATCAATTGTCTCAACATGGCGCCGGCATCGTGGAAAATATGGAGACTATACACAGTCTATAGTCTCCCTAGAGGACAGGGTGACTTAAGAAGTGTAGCCGAAATACATTTAAAGATGTCGCTATACTTAAAAATGTCAAACGGAATAAGTAAAAATCTAATTTTAATTAACAAGTCATAGCAACAAAAAATTATATGAAAATTAATTAAGAAGATTTTTAAAAAATTAAAAATGCAATTTTTTTAAAATAATTTTTTGGAAAAAAATTTTTTTGTTAGATAAAATAAAAAAATTGTCAAGAGACCGCTAACTTTAATGTCACAAAATTATTTATTATATACAAATTTTTATTTGAATATTTCGATTATTTATTTTACATAAACTTCAATTGTATTAAAATTTTAATTAATTACAAATAATTGTCAAATTGTAAATTTTTATACATAGTATTTTAATTTAAATATCTATTTTTTTGCACATTAAAAAAAAGAAATTTGTTCTTTAAAAAAAGATATAAATTAAAAAAAAAAAAAAAAAACTAAGTAACAAATTCAAAAACTGAAAAAAAAAAAATATTAAACGTACTTGGTGTGCGTCAATAAGTGTCTTATAATTTTCCAAATTCAATCACTGGCCTGATCGCTGTAAATTTATGTGTTGGGAGATTCCAAAAATTTCATAAAAAGTAAAATATACTGTAATAATGACCAAGTACGTTTGAATTTTTTTATTATTAATTTTTGAATTTGCAACAAAAATTTATTTTTTTAATTACTGAAAATTATAACAGTTAGGTCTTTTTTTTTTTTATTTTATATCTTGTACAGAACAAATTTTTTTTTTAATGGTCTTGTGAACGTGCACTTGGCTCTTCACTGGAATTTTATTTACAATAGTATGTACGAAAATAGTCTTAAAAAATAAATATCAATTATATACATATTTAAATGAAGCTGAGTTATGATTGTAATTATTTATCATCAGGATAAGTGATACTAGAAAGGAGTAAAACGTTATTTGGTAACGGTCCGGGTAGAGGGCTCAAAATGGTCATAGTTTGTTTTGCAACATCCACATTTGTTCTAAAAAAAAAAAAAAAAAGAAAATGTCATAAATATTTAATAAAAAAAATAACATCAAAAAATCATTTAAATGATAAAATACTTACATGCAAACAAAGCCAGCGATATTTGTTTGCACGATATCATCTTTATTAGGATCAGCTAGTGATATAGAGAGTATGTGTTTCTTCAAATTAGGTCCCGGTACCACAGGAATTAATTTGGTAGCTTTATTTTTGGATACTTCTTGTGAATTTGATAAAGGACCTACACTGAATATTTTTACGTCGCTCCATTTTACATCAAAGCTATGAGGGGTCAGTGTTCTCTTTGTGCCGTAATAATACTCATCGATTCGTAAATTTCTAGTAATTCTTCTGTAAGGAGTGCCTCGATTCACAACCCCACTGCTTTTGGGCAATAAAATAACTTTAACAAAGTCAGGAATATCTTTGACAAGCGCATTGTACAGTTTTTCATGATCTAAAACAATAATGACATCGACTTCAAATGCTTGAGCAATATGAGTTAGTATTCTGTAACCCTTTTTTAGTATCCACCCGCAAGTGTTTATAATTATTCCCCCTGCTTTTTCTTTTTTGTTAGCCTCCATACGGTCAGAACAAACTTCTGCGATTCTTGATACCAAATGATTGTACAGCGGCATATTCATACCAGGACCTTTGTGACCAAAGTGGAAACCAACAGATCCTTGAGTGTTGAATCCATCAACTACATCCGATGGTTTATCAATCGGCAGCGCTCCAATTATTCCCGGAATGGTTATTTGTCCTTGACCAACATCCAGGTCTACGAAAGTCGGTCTCCTGCCCATTCTAGCAGCGTAATTCAAAAAAATTTTCGTCAAAGTCGACTTACCAACGTCTTGGGGTCCAGCAATCATAACTATAGGTCCAGTGGAATTATCTTTCTCAGCAAACTCTCGCATTCGTTCCAGAGCTGCATGACAATTTAAATAAAGAGCCATTGGTGTTTTTTTTTCTACAAACGCGACTGTTTTTCCAGTAAACTCAACTGTGCATCCTTGCCATGTAAATACTCCAATTTTATGTCCAAATCCAAACTCATATTTTTTTCCTTTTATCAACTCTGCTCCAAATACTTCCGCTAACCCGTTTTTTAACTGTAATAACATATTGATTAAGATTTTATTTATTTAAAAAATTCGTCATTAATATAGTTAATTAAATTCATACCTCTAATGTTACTTTTTCATCTTTTTCATTAACCTCAAAGCGTAATTCACTCTCTGGATCCAAATTAAATACCTGGCTTGTTTTATGTTCATTCATTTTTAAAATAATTTGAAAAAAAAAAAAAAAAAAAACTACTTGTTAAAACAAAATAAAATAAACTAAAAATTTTTAAATATATCAATTCATAAAATTTAATTTGTTAAAAATTTTTTAAAATTTGGACTTATTAATTGTTATTGATAAAATCTGTTTACATTTTACTCATTCTCCATTATAGGCTTTTGTCGTATCGTCATTCTCTATTTTTTCTCAATTGATACAAGAAATTTACAACAGCGCCCTCTTTTTAGTTTATCATGTAGCTTAATATTCAAAATCGAGTAATTCTAACGGTTTATATAAATTTGTTTACGACTATGTATAACCTGTAGCTCTAATATTTTTTTTTAATTATTTTTTTTTACTTTCAATTCTTAGTTGATTTATTTAAGTGAAATTAATCTATATATTTATATAGTAAATAGTTATTATAATAATTTGAAACGATAATTATTATTATTATTTATCAACAATAATGTGGACTAAAATATCATCTGGCTTTGATGCCGACGAAGAAACCGCTAATTTCGGTACCCGTAATTTCGCCGAAACTCCAGGATCTATTTACGAAACCTGGACACTGGCAGTTATCCAACCAGACGTTGAAGTCGTAGAAAATCCTAAAGTGACCGCAACTGTATTTGACACAAGACTTTGCGTGAGTGTTGACAACTCCATAACAATATTCAACGACTTGTCTTGTAACGATGTGCTGTCAAGCATCGGCTTTGACTCACAAGTCACCAGCTACTGTTTGTCAAAAGACAGTTCACTGCTATTTGTATCCGTTGAACCAGCAGAACTTCACTGTTTTACTCTCACAGACTCTGGTCAAGAAATATTCTACCTTGACCTGCACCAACACTTTCAGTGTCATCGAATCATCAAAGTCTGCCTGGACGAACAAAATGATCTGGTAAATTTATTTATTGTTACTTCTGTAGGTAAAATTTATCAAATTAATGATTTCAATAAAGCTGTCAGTCCCAATGCGGACGATGATAATATTATCAAGGCTATTCAGGTACTGCCAATTCACAACTCTAAAATAGAGTATGCAGATCTGAAACAATCAAGTAAAATATCAGTGAAAACATTGGTAACTTTAGGTGATGACATATATTTATTTCCAGCAAATATTTCTTGTCCGTTAAAGTCATTACCTTATCAGTACATCAAAGCACAATTTTTCAAAAACTACAGCGGGATGATTTGTCTGCGTGCTGATAAAAGTCTGAGTATCGTGCACCTCAACACACTCATCGGTAAAAAAGTATGGGATGGTCCAGTTGCAGATTTTGTAACTCTACAAGAAGCTTCAGACAGTAACCACATGCTGGTCTTGATGGACTCTGAGCCTTCAGCAGACACGACGTCGCTTCATTTAATGTCTTTTCCAGATTTTAAAATTATTTTTACTATGACTGTACCGAGAACAACATATTTAATTGATGTTGTAGGTGGTGAGTTGATCGACAATTTGATGATCATCGAAGGAATGAAGAATTCTAGTGATCTGGTCGGCGCTATCCGTGTAAAATCCATTGGAGAAAGCTTACCAGAATACCGGCTCCAAAGACTGCTGAAACAGCAGCGATTTGATGAGGCAAGAGAATTTGCAAGTAAATTTAAATTAAATTGCGAATGTATTTTCCAGGCACAGCTATCAGTATTAATGAATCAACTACGTCCGCAGCTGGATGACAATGAAACTGTTGATCTAGATAGTTTTATTTCAATATTAGATCAAATAAAAGACGTAAAATATATTTACGAATGTTGCAGCAAAGCTTTGACTCGGGATTACCAAGACACTAAGCGGCTGTATATGTACACGAAGAAGCGTATTTTTGATTGCATTAATTTATCGTCAACAGCATCTATCACCGAAGATCATTCTCGTCTTCTGCATGAAGTAAGTGACACTCTGAAAAAACTAGAGACTTTTGAATGCATCCAGAAGGTAAGATCTGAGTACAGAAGCGATGATTTTACAGATATAAACGAATGGGATAAATTTTCAAGAGCTAATTTACTTGAAGAGTGTATTAGATATTTGTCTCTAGGAGAAGTACATGCAGCTGCACTGATATGGACGCGTCATATTTCATCGATAGCTCCGAGAGTAGGTAGAGGAACAGTAGAACAAATTTTAGAAGTGATTCCTGGTAATTTAGGACCCACTGATTTGTGGCCTTGGTTACACCAATTCATTCCTTCAGTTACTTCGTTCATACCTAGCTCTCTGACTGAAATAATTCTGTGGGGCTATAAGAAAACCAAGTCTCTAGAGAAGTCTCATCGCGACCAGTGGCCGGCTATTGGATTGCAATTTTTAGAAGGACTCGTTGATTTGCTGCATTTCGAAGAGTATAAAGTGTGTTTTCAACTTCATCAGCAGTACACTAATAAAAATTCACAGTTTCATCGGTTAATGAAGCTCATGCAAGCAGTTTCTGATCTAGTAGATCTGAAAACACACTATAAAGTTCTACTACCGCTCAATACTTATCTGAGTAACCCGATTGACGTGGTTACTCTGCTACTTAATAAAATACACATCGATGAAATTCCTGGGTTGATGAGCAATTTTTTAAACCAATACATGGTTAATCACTCCTTGAAAAACGATGAAGTTCTTTCGACGTACATTCAGAACACCTTGAAGAACTCCAAACAGTGGTGGATCGGTGACAAAGCGCCGTGGGATAAACGGCTCACTGTTGTTATAAGTTACATCCATAACATCCAGAACCGCTTGCAGCAGACTTTGGAAGTGTTAAAAAAAGCACCGGTACCTTGGAGTGACGCTTTGTCAACACTTGCTGATCAATCTTACAAGTACAACCATCCACTGGTGGCGCAAATTCATATTGAAAGCAACAGTATCACCCTAAAATTGATTTTAAAAAAATACGGATTCGCTCACATTGGTTGTAATATTAATTTATATAAAAATATCATCAAACAAGATCGCGCGGATATGGTTGAAGATTTGTTCGAGTTAACAAAAGCTGATAATAATTTAAGGCAAGAAGTTATTTTCACTTGTCTTAATTATCAATTATGTCACGGTAATACTGAAAGATTTATGGATACAATTGATAAATTAGATGGTGATTTACTATTAAATTGTTGTCAGCAAATAGTCGACATGATCAAAATTAAATTAAGTTATAATAAACTTGATACATCATTGGAGTATTATATGGAAGTACAAAATACTTTGGAGAATAAATTAAAAGAAGCGTTAACGAGTGCAAAGAACAAAAAATACGCTGAATTAAATGATTCTCACCAAACATTAAAGTTGTTAAAAAATATTTACCGTTTGTTTAAAGAATTTGATATTGATGTTGATCAAAATAAGTATTGCTTGCATAAAAAAGATATAATACACAGTTATATTGTCAAGATAGTTAGTATGTGTGAGGATGATACTGATTGGTTGATTATTTGCAAGCGTGTTGAAAGAGTGAGCGGTTTATTGGGCTTGCCAAAATTTTTTGGACTCCATGAAGTATTGCAACAAATATCACCTCCGCAAAAGTTGAAAGATTACATAATTGATCGCTTGAACAGCGCAGGAATGTCTCCAGATCCTGATGAGAGTAGGTACATAATTAAAATCTGCTCCGAATTACTTTTGAATCTTGACGACAACTCCCAGCTGGCTATTTGTTTAAAAAATTCTTGCTCGTCAACTTTAATTCACAGCACAGAAAAGATAGAATCTTTGACTGAAAATTTGCTTCTGATTAATCGTATCGAGGCTTACAATGAAGCTGTAGGTGCTGAGAAAATGGAAACTGGATTACAATCTCCGCTGTCATTTAAATTGTATCCAATTTATACAGACGCGTCCTTCTCGCCTGGAAATATTCTACTGCCTCTTTTAAAAGATGCTTTGGATATTTGTCGTCATTACAAGAATATTAGTAGAGGTAAAGAAAAAGCTTTAGAGGTAGATCCAGAAGTTATCAGATACATTATTAAGAATTTATTCCATAAAGTTAAAGCTGTTCAAAGTGAGCATCACGATTACGCTTTGTTAAAAATATTTATGATCATTCAAACAGAATTGTGTTCTTATCAGCCGGTCAGTGAAGAAGCTGTTAAAGAAATTAAAGTAGTGATGAAACATTGCAGTTGTATGTTGTTAAAAAAATTAGTAAGCAACAGGTCATTTGATATTCATCTAGGACTAGCGTGTTTATTTTTACAGGATAAGTCAGAAGTTATCAAAATACTGGCGTCGATTTCAAAATATTTCCAAACTGATCCGTCGCGTGATCGAGTTATCAAAGATTTGGGCTACGAGTATTGTCGATTAATTAAGAATGATTCTCATATTGACTTATTCAATGAACAAAGAATAATTCACTGCTGGGCAGAGAGACTCGGTCAGTATGGTATTTCTCATCAGGAAGTATTGCAAAGCAATATTGAAGGTAAACGTAATATTATGATACGTATTATGAAGTCGAAGAAACCAGAAGCTCTGAAAGTACTAGAAGACTTCTGCTGTAACTTTGGATTCAGTTTAAAAGACTGTTATTTAAAATTGCTTGAAACTCTGCTGCTGTCATGGCAACCAAATTACAGTCTTACAACTGGAAAAGACGGCAAGAAGGATCTCAAAGTGGATGAGACTGATATAAAAGAACTGGAAAACGTCTGCAAAAAGTTAATAAAAAAAATAAAAAACGTTAAAGACAGCAAACATAGTGAAATAAAAACACATTTGGAGACATTAAAGCAACGAGTTAATTTTTATCATTATGAAATATTTCTTTTGCTGCTGAATCTTGGTAATGAAAAGGATTTTGAATTACAAAGTTACTTACGTTTTTTGAAAAATTACATTCGTATTAGCCCACCGACAGACATTGAACGTGAAGAATGGTTGAATTACTGTCAAGATGAGCATTCATTACCGGCAATTGCTCAGTGGCGACTACCGTACCTGCCAAAAGTATCTATTTTTAAATTAATAACACAGGAATTAAATTTAAAAACTTATGAAGAATGGTTAAAAATAGCGCCGGTTCTTAAAATAGCCAATTACTGTATTTGCACATTAGCGGTTAAAGGAGCTGTTGCTGAAGCTTGGCCTCATAATTCCGTGACGAGTAATAATAGGGCTTCCAGTCACAGTCACAATGAGTGGTCAATACACTTGCGTAACGGTGCTCTTCTTCAAGAAATAAAAAAATGCATTAATGTTTGTATTAAACAAAAAGAGGAAATTCAGTATGGTGCTGCGGCCTGGTACCATGTAGTTAATTATACGCCTCCTGGTGCTGATAGAGTTGCTGCTGCCAAGGAGTGTTTTTTGTATGCACAAAATTGGCAGCAACAAGTTGATGATCCTCTAGCTCCAGATGATTCTATCAAATCGAAGGTAATTTATTTATTTATTTAAGGTAATTTATTTTTTTTTAAATTGTTTATTATTAATAAATCATTTTATTTTAGCTCTACAAAATAGAAGAAAAATATTTCAAGTACACATCAAAGCATACTTTGTATACTTATGGATTAGGTCAAGACAGGTACTTGAATCTAGTCGAAAATCCGGAGAAGTTGGTCCAAGAATTGTATCATGATGAAACAATACCGGCACGTTATAAAGGAGTTATTAAAAATCGTCCTGATATAAATGCAGCGGTGACAAAGTTAGGAGATATATTTAAATTAAATTTAATGAAAATACGCTTAGCGTTACTACACGAATGGCTTCAGCCCGAAGTTGGCGACAACAAAGCCAATGATACTTTAAATATGTTCAACGATTTTTCAACGTTATCTAATAGTATTACGGGTGATACTTTTACGACTGATGACAATTTGCTGCGAGCTTGCTACCTCGTTGGTTCGGACAATTCTGAAAATTATGCAAATTATCTGCTCAATATCAGCCTAATAGAAGGTAATGATGAAGACTACGGGAATCTTTATGAACCAGGTATGCGTTTCCGTGCTCTGAGAGTGCTCCAGTCTATAAAGGATGAAGTAGCGTTAGCTGATTATGCCAAACGCGATCCACAGCGCGTTAATCAGTACATGAAATCACTTCAATATTTAACAGAGCTAGAAAGATTTGGATTGTCATATAGCATTACTAATTTTGATATGTGCTCTAAACAAAAACTGGTACAAATTTTAGTGAACAGCCAGTACAGTACGCCGCGTGCGTTAGGACTGATTCCGCAGTTGTACCTGGATTATGATATTGAGGATCTCAGTTATCTTAATACTGCATTAGAGTATATGGTAAAGTACTCACTTGTCCAAGAACTAAAGAAAAACTTATTGAAACTTGGTTCAATTGACCGTATTATTAATTTCCCTGGTTACATTGCTGCTTGGCAATTGATTATAAATGAACCGTTCAATAAACTTGATCACAGCTCTAAAAGTATCGATAACTGCATCGAAGCACTGAGATTGTTACATGTATGTCCGATTATTGACAAACTTCAATTCAGCTCTAACATAAATTATTGTTTTGTGGCTAAACAGCCACATTTTGCAGCAAGTCTCCTTCCTTTTTTAAACGGAAATGAACAAGAAATTGTTCTACAGGTATAAATTTATTTGATCATCCTTGAATACCTAATGTAATTTGATAAATAAATTATGTATTTATTTTCAGAAACTACTACAAAATCTAAATTACGAAGAAATAACGAGTAAAATGTTAGATTTAGCGAGTAAAGGTGTGTCCATTGTTTACCAAGTAAGTAAATGCTTTGATCACGATTGTTTAGTTAATATTTATTGATAATAAATTTATATTATTTATTTACAGTCTATTACGATGTTGAACCAAGCCAGAACTAAAATTTCCATTGAACAATAGTATTATTATTGTATATATTTGTACAGTTGTTATGATTTAGAATTTTCGGAAGGTTTCCAAGAATCATCATAATTTTCAATCGTCAGTGATTTTTCACGCAATAATTTAAGTTTATATCCTTCCGGGTGATCACTCGCATCTAACACAGTTAAACGAGTAACAACTAAAAAATTTGGGTTTTTCGGACTTGGACCCTGAATATAATCTATTTCGTCCTCAAGTCCAATCTGTAATAAATCAATTAATGTATAAATTATGAATTTAAGTAAATATTAAAAATTTTTTATACTATTTTAATTTATGTCTTATAACATTGAAATTAGCAGACACTTGACAATTTTTTGATTTTTCTTGAATAATCTATAAAAAAAATTGCACTCATAATTTTTCAGAGCTTCTAAAGATGGAATTTTTTAAATAAATTTTTCTTGCTCTAATTTATTAGTTAAAAATAATCAAATGTCTCTTAATTTCATTATAATTTTGTCTTGTAATTTTTTAATACCTGTAATCCTTTTTTGAGTACTTTCTTACCATTGACACGTAATCTACTTTCATACAATGCAGTTTCGGCTTTACTAAAAAGTAAATAATAATTTTAATAAAAAGGTTTTAATTTTTTTTTTTTTTTTTTTTAAATTATACATTAATTTTATAATGAATACTTACTTTCGAGCTATACCCATTCCAGCCTTAACAACAGCATCAATCCTCATTGAACTTACATGAGTTGTTATTACTTTATTATTTTTATTACCAGCTACTATAGAATCTATTTCATCATCAACTTCCTTTTCATCGTCACTGTCATCTAGATTTTGCTGCTTAAAAAAATAATAATGAAAAAAAACTTCTTCAAAGCTAATGTTAAATTAATTATATATTAATTCCATAATGTAAATAATAAATAAATAAATTACATTTGAAAGTTTTTGTTTTTTAGATTTCCACCGTTTAGTCACCCACCAATCGAGGTTATGAGGCAATAAAAACTTATTTGACAGTTCTCGTCTCAAAAATCTTGGTTGTATATTATTTAATTTATTGTTATTGGAGTATGAAGACAATAATTTTATTCTACAAATTGAATTAATCTTATTTAATTGTTTATTCCACTTTAAACAAGATAAATAACTTGATGATAACCTCACAGTTGCCATTTTTGTTTGTAAATATTTACGCGCCACTAATTCGACGCAAGCGTATCGTAAAAAATGCATAATTATGTTAAAATGTGCTACGCCCGAGACTGTCAAAATATTGAAAATTTATGAAATGAAATTAAAAAAAGAAATACTTAAAAATAAAAATGACTGGTTTTATAAAAATGGAGATAATAATTATTTTTTATGAATGACACGATTTATTGCAACAATTCTGGCCCATATGCTTAATCACGCCAGCCAACAATTAAATTATATTCCAAATAATATTACTATATACTACTATTAATAATTAATAATTAATGCAAATTAAAATAGACAGCATAATAAATTTAAGATTTAATAGTTCGATAAAACATTAAAAAAATAATTAGGAAAGGTAATAAAGTAGTACATTTATCGATCAATCGATAATGTTCTACTAAATAATCAAAACAGTCAATTTAATTTTTTTGTTTTTTTTTTTTGCATTATTTTTTTTTCACATGACCGCTCCTTGGCTCACGTTAGCCTCCACGCCGCCACATATTTCCAATTTTATTAATTGGTATCGAATAAGTATATTAGAAGATAATAATAGCAATAAATTGTAATAAGGATTTACCATCTTATCACCTAACATGACAAGTAATATATTGGATTTTCTGGGTGTCAATGAATATAAGGTAGTAATGTAATTAATTGTGGTGTCTAGAAACAACACGCTTACGCCAGTTTCATCAACTACTACTACTAGTATTTTTTTTTTTTTCATTTTTCTTATTTTTTAGTTTTTTTGTTTTTTTCTTTTTTGTTATGTTAATTTTTATTATTCATTATCATTAATAGTAATAATTCATTCCAAGTATCTTGCGTCTTCATGATGGGTTTTTTTCAAATTTTTTTGCAGTATTGAGAATAAAAGAAGCCGTGTAACGAGAATTAAGGTCTCAGCTACAGCAATTAGTGAGTCCATTTGTTCCATCCCTATAAAATAAAATAAAAGTACATTATAATTATTGTCAATAAATATTTATATCAAGATAAATTTTGGTGCATCAAAAATAAAATAAATATTTTACCGGGTGATGTTTATCTTGGACCGTCGGATCAGGCATTCCCCATCCTGGTGCATCCATTTTAGTTGTATCATTTGGAGGTGGTATTTCTGATAGAACCGCCGCGTTTCCATACTGCCCTGGGAATAGTAGTCCAGGTATCATAGATAATCCTGAAGCACTACCATTAGGATATGCTTGTGGATTTTCCATATGGCCCTATAATAAAATAAAATAATTTAACATTAGTTCAACTCAATCAATTTTTTTTTTATTTGTAGTCGTAATTAAAAAAAAAAAATGTTTATTTACCGAAAATGGTGATTCAATAATCTGTTGAATATCCGGCTCCATATTGGAAACACGATTATAGGAAGCATTTGTTCTGAACATCTGTTGTCTCTCCATTCCAGGTATATTCCAAGATCCAACAGATTTATCATTAATCATCCAATTAACAGGAGGCTCAGCATCACCACCAGGTCCCATATTACAATTGTAATTTTTCCATGCTCTCTCAGTACCAATAGGCCTAGGTACTTTACGATCCTCTATTTTTAATTGATTCATCTCCTGTGTAACTTGACCCGGAGATGACGGTGACATTGTCGGTGAGCCGCCGTTTTCCAAGCCAGTTATCAAATCAATACCACCAACTTGAGTAGCACCAATGTTACCCAAGTGATTAGGAAAGCCCATTTGTGCCATCATTTGATCTTGGTGTGGTGGATAATTACTGTGTGGTGGATGATTAAATTGCCATCTTGCTTGCCCATTTGATGATATACCTGATGGATGAGTAGGTGGAGGTGGTTGTCCTCGTGAATTAGGTCCACCAGTCGGTGGCTGTTGCTGTTGCTGCTGTTGATATTTATTCAGAGGATAATTACCGAGCATTGCTAAATTAGTAGGTTGCATACCAGTCGGTGGTGCTGTTGGTACTTGGGCAAACATATTCGGATGAATACCCGTTGGTGGATTAAACATCGTCACCTGGGGTTTATTATTGAGATGCAACGAGCTTGAAAAATCAGGAGCACGTGGATTTAATCTTGACATACTAACAGTCGTGCTTACACTCGCTGATTGGCTTATAGATGGAGCAAAACTCTGCATATGTGGGTGAAACGGCATCATCGGATGACCGCCACTTGATTGCCCATCGTTTGGTACCATTTTTAATAAATTAGAATTAACATTAGCGTGGTCATATCCACTGCTACTGTTTTTAAATAACCCGTCTAGATTTTGCTGGGAGTTTGACGCCATCATATGTTGTTGCTGTTGTGCTTGCATCTGTTGATGTTGTTGCTGCTGAGACTGCTGTGAAGTTTGTTGCTGTTGTGATTGAGGTTGTTGCTGCTGAGACGAATGAGACGACTGCTGTTGTTGTGGCTGTTGCTGCTGAGATTGTTGCATCTCTCGCTGAGATTGTTGATGCTGCTGCTGCTGCTGCTGCTGGTGATTAACATTCATATTCCGTGAGGCAAGATCACTGGCGTATACAGCTCTATTGAATTGATTCATTCCAGCACTCTGTAATTCCATACTCTGCTGTTGATTCATGACTGGCCGAGCAACTGCTAAACTCGATGATTTATTCGGCATCTGATGTTCATTCAAATAATTATTTATTGACGCTTGATATTGCTGCTGTTGTTGCTGTAAGCTATTATGAATACCAGACGGCGAGACACCCGATACACTGCCTATTACGGAATTTCCTGACGATAAAACACTACTATTATTTGTTTTACTAGAAACTGGTGAACACATAGCTGTACCTCTGTAGCCAGGTGCCTTAGAAGCATCTACTTGAGGTGGTGAACTGTCAATAAATTTGCCAGGAGAATTGTCAAATTTATTAGAAGAATTGGTAGATCCACCACCACCAGCAACTGTTGCGAAGTTCATACCCTTTTGAGATTCGTTTTCACGACTTCCCCAGACTGATTGTTGAGCAACCTTTGAAAAACTATCATTAAACAACGAGTATTCAAGTGGTGTATTCGTTTGCTGTTGACCTTGATGTGGTCCAGATTGTTCCATAATTCCTGACATAACTGGAGTCGTGCTGCGCATTGATTGCGATGATTGCTGTTGTTGATGTGATAGATGATGAGCTTGATGCTGTTGCTGTGCATGTTGTTGTTCTGTCTGTTGTTGTTGCCGGAGTTGTTGTTGCTGCTGCTGCTGCTGTTGCTGTTGCTGTAACTGTTGTTGTTGTTGTTGTTGCTGCTGCTGTGCATGTTGTTGTTCTGTCTGTTGTTGTTGCCGGAGTTGTTGTTGCTGATGCTGCAACTGTTGTTGCTGTTGCTGCTGTTGTTGTTGCTGCTGCTGTTGTTGTTGCTGCTGCTGCTGCTGCTGCTGTTGTTGTTGCTGCTGCTGCTGTTGCTGTTGTAATTGTTGAGATTGCTGCTGTTGTTGAAAACTATTTGATTGAGTAACAACTGGTGGCGATGGTGTCACACGCATAGAAGTAACAGCAGTAGATGAGGCAATATTTTCAGAGCCGTTTGAAACAACAGCAGACGTTATAGTGGACGACTGATTGTTTATAGAACCAGATGATGAATAAGTTTTACTATTATAATGTCCTGATATATTTGGAGCAGATAAAGACGGCAGTGTTCGGCAGTGCTTGGGCGATGTGCTAGTCATGGTTTGATGGGGTAAAGTTAGCGGTGTCAATGATGTTGATGACATAACGTTATTTATTACTGAACTTGATTGAGACATTGATGACGATATAGAGAATTTTTGTTTATTACTATTGCTACCACTGTTGTTATTGTTACTGTTATTAATCTGATTTGTATGATTCAACTGTACAGTCGTGGTGGTTGTATGAGTCGAGGCAGTGATATCAGATAACTTTGCAGCAAATGTTTGTGGTGCAGTTGTTGTTATAAGCTTAGTAGCCCTTCCCGAGGTCATAATAGCACTGGTATAAGACATTGTTGTTCTGGTATTAGATGACGATGATACCTGTCCTCCAGACGCTGCGACAGCTGCTGCTGCTGCTGCTGCGGCAGCGTGCGCTCGTTTTTCAGCTGCGGCCACTAGTCGCGGTGCAGTTGCGCGTGATAGAGGCGCTGAAAATGCACCGGCTAATTTAATAGAGGATGATGATCTTAGTGGCATTATTTGACCGACAGAAGATATTCCTGATGATGTATAACCGGATTTAGTTGCGTAACTAGTGGTCCCGGTCACAGAGGTTGCTGGTTTATTTACCGGTCCCATTTTAGGTTTGGATGACTATTATGAATAAAAAAACAACACAAAAATGACGATTAAACAATATAATTAAATAGATTCTAAGAAATTCATTTTAATAAAGGATAAACACTTACGGCACTCGTGGGTACCGTTGATTTATCCCAGGTTGAAGAAGTTATCACGGTAAGTTTGTTCTTTGGCAACATCTGAAGGATATCTACGTCAGGATCTTTTATAAGAGCAGCTATCAAAGTATGAGCTTGCTTAGTAGCCTCAGTTGGACCTCTGTTAAAAATAACAAAAAAATTTTTAATAATTCACGAAACAGACAATTAATAGTTTATTATTTTAAATATTGACGGAATACATAAACTACTTACTTTATCGTAATAATACGTTCGCCTTGACATTTGCTCTGCTTTTCAACCTCGATGTGAGCACCAGTTGCAGCGCGAATAGCATTAATATTGCTACCACCTCGACCAATAACACGGCTAATAGCATTTGGTGGAACTGATATTTTTTTAGAACGACATGGAGAATTCATAAATCTACCGGAATCAGAATCAGACTGTCCCTTACGAACAACTTCTTTCCAGCCTTCTTCACGTTTACCACCCTGTTTAGGACTAGTCGTATTTAATGTTTTAACACTGTTATTTATTCCATCATTATCATACTGATTACTATTACTGTTATTATTAGATTTTTTTCCTTTTCCAGAAACATAATTTTCGTTACCGGTTGCTTCAAAGTCCTCACGTTCTGCGGGATGTCGAGAGGACTCAAATACAAGTCCTTTGAGTTTACGCTCGGAGGAATTAATACTACCACCACTAGAAGAGGAAGATGCAACTGGGTGTCGTGAACTACCAGACGAGGTAGTCATTGAACCTGACGTACCACCTCCGGTATTACTATTACTGGTTGAAGCGCGTTTATCAGGAGCACAAGGAGAATTAGAAATAGTTGTAGTCGAAGTTGAAGAACAACTTTGAAGTTTACTACTAGGTGGTACTATCGAGGATTGGGAGATATTTGATGATGAAGAAGAAGCAAAAACTGAAGATTGAGGGCGATGAGGAGAGGTGTCTTTATCATTACTATTATTAGAGTTGCTATTATTATTACTGTTAATATTATTATTATTTTTCTTCTTTTTCTTATCTTTCTTTCTCTCGCGTGCTTTAACATCATTACTGCTACAGCTTCCTTGGCTATTAGCATCTATACCACTGTCACCCTCTTCTTTATCTGGATCATCTGGACTACGATTAACTGGTGACGGCGATGGAACATTATCTAAACGTTCACAACTATCGGCACCGCCCTCTTCATTGTCACTTTCATCAGCCCTATCAGCATCCTCATCTTCGGATTTTTTCGACGCATCCTCTTTGTCTTCATAAATCGTTTCATTCTTTTTATTTTCTTCATGAAGTTTTCGTTTTTCTTCTTTCTTTTCTAATTTTTTCTTTTTCTTACGTTCACGTCGACGAGCTGCAGCGGCACGCTTAGATTCTTCACGGGTTTTTTCCATATCCAATTCTTCCAATAGTATACTAGCATTTTTATTGGCTTTAGCGGCTTGTGTTTCTTTAGCAGCGCGAATTACTTTAACACACTCTTGACACTTTTCTAATAATTCTTTGTCATTGACTGTACCAATATACCTTGTCATTTCTTGATCACTAGGAAACTGCGTAACATGACTAACCATCCATTTAACAACTTTAGTATGCCCTTTACGAAATGCTGCCATCAAACAAGACACTTTACGATTGTCTTGTGAATCAATATCAGCTCCAGCATTGTATAAAAGTTCAACAACATTAAGATGCCCACCATTAGCAGCAAGCCACAACGGGCTGTTACCTTTTTTATTTTTAACCTCAACTTGAGTACCACGTGATAATAATAATTCAACAAAACGGCAGTGACCTTTGTCTGCAGCAATAGTAAGGGCAGTGTCACGCGACGATGGGACAGGAGTTGCATTAACATCAGCGCCTTTAGTTAATAAAACACGACCAACTTCAACGTAACCGCCACTAGCAGCTTCCATCAACGGTGTTAGTCCTGTTTTAGCGCGATGCTCAACATTTGCTTTACGATCAAGAAGCAGACTTACAACTTCATGTCTACCTTGGAAGCAAGCGAGAGTCAAAGCAGTATTACGATTTGTTTCAATCTGCGCGTTTATATCACTACCCATATCCAGTAGTAATTTAACCGCTTGAGTATGTCCGTTCATAGCAGCAAGCATCAGTGGAGAAATTCCAAGTTTTGAACCGGTACGTGAATTTATTTCAGCTCCATTCTGCAGTAAAAGTTTTATAATATTGACATAACCACCAGATGCAGCTAAACTAAGTGGAGTATAGTCAGATACATTGCGATGTTCTTTATTGGCGTTACGAGACAGTAATAATTCTACAACCTCGAATCTTCCACCACTGCAAGCAAGTGACAAAGGAGTATCCTTTGTTCGCTCGGACTGCGCTTCAATGTCTGCGTTATGATGTAAAAGTATTTCAACAACTTTTTGGTGACCAGCAGTTGCTGCTAATATTAATGGAGTAAAGCCCTTTTTATCACGATGTTCGATATCGGCACCACGACTCAGTAGGAATTCAACGAGTTCTTCATGCCCTCCAGCGCATGCAAGCGTTAATGCAGTGTCATGATTGCTGTCTGTTTCTGAATCAACATCCATACAAGCAAACTGTTGGTTTTGATTAGCCGGTGGATAAGTAGCTGGAGCTGTATCTGCGGTGACCTGAGCACCTGCAGGTACTACGCTATTGCCTGTATAATTTCCTACTGCACTTATGGCAGGATCCAATTGATAATTTTGTTGAACTTGTTGCTGAACTTGTTGTTGCTGTTGCTGTACTTGACCAGTCACTACCGGGCCCACAATGGTTTGTTGTTGCGATAGCTGTTGCTGTTGCTGTTGAGGTTGTGGTTGTGGTTGTGGTGGTGGTTGCTGTTGCTGTTGCTGTTGTTGTTGCTGTTGCTGCTGCTGCTGCTGCTGCTGTTGTTGTTGTTGTTGTTGTTGTTGTTGACATGGAGAAGGTTGCTGTGATAAAAGAGCATATCTAGCTTTTTTCTCTTTAGCACAGGCATTTGCAGTATATACTTGTTTTTTGTCAGGTTCTGTAAGACTTGCCACGGCACTTGTTGCCAGTCCTTGAGTCTGCGTTGCTACTTGAACCTGATTACTGCTTGCACTGCTACTACTGATGCTGCTACTTGAGCTACTGCTACTAGTACCAGCACTAACTTTACCTCCATTTTTTTCCTTACTCCGTGCAGCTGCATTTAAGTTCCAACCCAATACAAGATTATCTATAACTAAAATATTGTGATCGTTAAAATTGCATATTAAATTTTAATAAAGTTTGACTTAAGAATTTTTTTAATATAATATTAATCATACTCGTTGGATCTATTCCAGGTTCTTCGTAAGATGTTTCTGTGCCACGGATTTGAGCGGCAGCAGCCATACGTAAACCACGTTTGAAACCTTTCTTATAAACATCATCTAATGTTTTTTCTCGATTTAATCTTTCGCTGGATCGTCTTCCGGAACCACTAGCATCCTAAAATTTATTATTTATAAATCAATCATTTGCAATGGGTAAAAAATAAGTGGAAAAATTACATTTTTTTTTTTATCAAATGAAATAATAAAAATTTTTATCCTATTGAATTAATATAAAAGTTACCTGCTCAACTTGACGTAATACCTGATGTTGCTCCATCGATACAAGGTCTTTTGAAAGCTGCTCTTGATCTTTTTCGCAAATACCAAATTTCTTTAGTTCTAATTCATCTTGATCGTCTGGACCAACTGCGAAAGTCAATAGTTTAACAAAAATGGCAAATATTACGTTAAAAAATAATTATAATAGGAATAAAAATAAATAAGTTATTATAATATTTAAGAGATAAAAATATCGCGATGATCTTACGAGCCATATAGTTACCGTTAGGCACATCGTCGAAGGTAATTGATTCTATTATTTCGGCAACTTCATCCATCGGTATCTGCATTCCATCATCCAATTTCAGGACAGTACTGTCCGCAGTTAGTGCTTTAGCTTTAGGAGCGGCAGCAAAGAATGGACAAGCTGTATCTCTATGCAATCTTGCCAATTCCGAGTCCAGAGGCTCCGAAATATTTTGCTGTGTTGTTTGCTACATTTAAAGTTAAATGCATATACATCAAGACATCGTTTTTATTTTTAATTATGAATATAATTTGTGGTTATTGTAATTTTTTAAATCCAAATGATGTAGAAGCAGTTTTTATTGATTAAATATAAATTTTTAAAAAATTCATTCATTCTCTGACGATTTATTAATGTTTTATTATTTTTTGTTTGTTAAATTTTCTATCTACTTGATTGTACCTGATCATGAAGATGCTCAATATGAGTCTGAGTGGGGTGAAGGTGAGCCAACAGTTGACTGGGCACTAGGATATCAGCACCGCTGTCACTTATAACACCAACTTGGGATTGATGTACGTCATGCTGATGTTGCTGCTGCTGTACCTGTATTCAGAGATTAGCAAAACTGTCACACAATATAACATCCAAAACAGATCATCTCATTAGCACAATCAGTCCATCAGCGATCCGAGTAGGTAACCAATTAATCATTGCTATCAAGTATTAATAATTTTTTTTTTTTCGGTTAATCCAAATTCTTCTCATTACTTATTCATTTAATTGTTATTTCATTTCAATTTCAATTCGAAATAATTTTGTAAGTAAACAAAATGACGAAATTTTTAAATAAATTCACGATAAAAAATACTGATGTTTTTTTTATCTGATAGTGTACAAAAAAATTTGTAAATGGTAACCAACTCGAAGATTATTTCTGAGCTTGAATGTGCATGATAATCAATCGACGAACCTGTACTTGATCTAACTGCATTTGAAGTTGTTGATTCAATTGCTGAAGCTGTTGAAGATCATGAACCTGTTGGAGTTGATAGACATGCTGTCGTTGTTTCTCTTGATACTGCTGTTGAAGTCCGACCAATGTAACCTGTTGCTGTTGCTGTTGTTGTTGTTGGGCCTGTTGTAACTGAGAAATGGTTGCCTGTTGCTGTTGCTGTTGTTGTTGTTGTTGTTGTTGTTGTTGTTGTTGTTGTTGTTGTTGTTGTTGTTGTTGTTGTTGTTGCTGCTGTTGTTGTTGATGTTGTTGCTGTAATTGCTGCTGTGTCTGTTGTTGAATGAACTTGCCAGCAGCAATATTGGGCTTGCGAAGATTTTTACCCTCTTTCTTAGAGACAGGTTTAGCCTTGGGTCGATCACTTATGGCAGTATTTTGACTGACATCACTGCTAGCAGTTATCGGGTGTGGAAGCGTCAACGTTCCCGTAATCTGCGGTGGTTGTACTCCGATTCCAGTTGACACTGCTGCTGTTGACAATGTCCCGGTAATTCCCGGTACACTGACAGCAGCCCTAGGCAATGACAGCGGTGGTGTTGTTGTCGTGAAGTTGGCCATCGTCATCGTTGTAGGAAATGTTGCATCCCCTGCAGGAGGATCCAGAGGCATGGATTGGGCTAGTCTCAGACGTTCCTCCAACGATATGCGTTTGGCGAGATATAACCCGTGATAATACGCTAAGGCCTTATTGGTTTCTTGATAGGACAACAGGCTTCCCGATAAATCGGATGTCGTGCCACCGCAAACCAACCCTAACGAAACACCAATACCATTCGAACGAGTGTGCCATTTTCGATCTTACGACGAAAGTTACTTTGATAATACTCACGCGATCAGCAACTTGTTTTTTCTTTTTTTTTTTTTTAATCATTTAATTAATTTTATTTAGTGTTTAGTAACCGAAGACAAGAAATGAAGTGCAAAAAAAAAAAAAATTCAACGCTGCATGTGTTTAATTAAAATGACAAAACCCGAATTAATCCGAACCGCTGCGTTAGTAATTTTAAAAATTTTGATTCATCTAGTTACACCGGCATTAATTAATCGTAGGAGGAATTTTTAAAAGCAAAGATTCGATATTTTGAAACGCGAGTAAATAAAGTGAAAACTTGAAGTTTAAAAAAAAACTGTGTACTTACCATGAAGTGCAGTAGCTGATTGAGCTGGTAAATCAATATTTGACATTCCTGGCAGTAGTGAATCAGTTGAATCTGCACCATCACCGGGTTTCAGTTGTCTTTTTTGTTCATCTAAATTCGGAGTACCTAAAAACAAGTGGCCTGCGCCTTTGATCTGAAGTTCACGCTCTACCCTCTAAAAAAATTAAAATTATATTATTTAGAGATTTTAAAAATTTTCAAACATATAAATTTTTTTTTAATAATTTAAAATTTTTATCAAAAATATACCTGTAATTCTTCAAGAATTTGTTGTTTATGAAGAATTTGCTCATGTCGTGCATTTTTACGACTCTCAGCAGATGTGGACGCGGCCACAGGTAATGGTGTAGAACTTAACGCAATATTAGGTTCTGACAAGCTGGTAAAAACACCACTTCCTTTATCCAATATATTTGTATCATCCATAGATGTAGCAACAGCCTCGCCTGCAGGCTGAGTTCTTACTTGCTGCGCTTCAGCAGAGGTTAAACTAGCATCGGGCATCACGGTAACCGAACGATTCTTTCGAAGCAACGATTTTTGGCTATTGTGCTTCGGTTGTAGATTTTGGTTTTGGTTTTGTTCAGTGCTCGGTTGCTGTTGCTGATGCTGGGGTTGTTGGATCGATGGCGGTTGTTGATGAGACATCGGTACTTGCTGATGACTAAGATTTAGTGGCTGTAGCTGAGGGATTGCCGTTTGTTGCTGCAACTGTTGGGGAGGTGGTTGTTGCTGCTGTTGTTGTTGTTGTTGCTGTTGCTGTTGCTGTTGCTGTTGCTGTTGAGGCAAAGGTTGAGGTTGGACTATTTGAGTTGGTGGTTGTTGTTGCTGCTGTTGTTGTTGCGGTTGCTGTTGTTGTTGCTGAAGGGGCTGCTGCTGCTGCAATTGTTGTTGAGGATGCTGCTGCTGTATTTGTTGTTGCAGTATCGGAGCAGGAGTAGCAGCGTTATGCTGAGCATTCATCATAATGCTGTGAGGATAGTCAAGTAACAGCTGAACAACACTGGTGTGTCCGCCCTTGGCAGCCTCAATCAACATAGTTGAATTATCCTTGAGTTTATGGAATGGATCGGCAGACTGGGCAAGCAATAACTCAACCACCGCAAGGTGTCCACCTGCACAAGCAAGTGACAGCGGCGTATGATCATTGTTGGTCGTGTGGCGATTAAGACTGGCCAATTTCGATATCAAAAACTGTACGGTACAAAGATGTCCAGCTCGACAAGCTTTCATTAAAGGTGTTCGTCCTCCTTCAGATTCGTGTTCCAAATCAGCACCAAATTGAAGTAGAAGATCTGCAACATCCGTATGCCCATTTTCACAAGCGTAGGTAAGTGCTGTATCCCCAGTTTGAGTCTGAGCGTGAACATCCGCTCCAGACTCTAGAAGATAACGAACAAGATCTAAATGACCTTCCTGAGCAGCTTCCATGAGCGGTGTTGACGCTCCTAACTCGATGTCAGCTCCTGCTTTTATTAAAAAATCAGCAACTTCGAGGAAACCACCACAACACGCCAACGTCAGCGCAGTTTCCTGGGTCTCTTCCGTCTGGGCGTTTATATTAGCACCCTGACTTAGGAGTAATGCCACCATTTCTTCATGACCTTCTCGAGCAGCTTCCATTAATGGTGTATATCCCTCGTCATTAACCTCCTCGATGTTGGCTCCACGTTCAATTAGAAGCATCGCTAAATCAACATGACCACCACACGCGGCAAGTGTCAATGGCGACTCGAAGCTATCGGTCGGCATATTCACTTGGGCGCCTGAGTCTAACAACAGTCGTGCCACTTCTACGTGGCCGTCCATTGACGCCTCCATCAGTGCGGTGTGCATCTCATCGGTCTTATGCTCTTGATCAGCACCAGCTTCCAATAAAAACCTTACCATATCAAGATGACCCTTGTAACACGCTAGTGTTAACGCAGATTCTTTAAATTCATTCGAATGAGTATTAATGCCGGCACCGTGTTCTAGTAAGATCTTAGCTACTGGCACGTGGCCAGCGCTTGCCGCTTCCATCAATGGTGTATGACCGTTTTCATTATGATCTTCAACGTTCGCGCCGGCTTGAAGTAATACCCTCACGACATCTTCATGGCCACCAGCGCATCCATACATCAATGGTGTATTACCTATTAATAATTTCAAAATAATTTATTATTATTATTATTATTTACTTTCATTATTTCTTTCTTACTTTAATCTTTTGTTATTTATTGATGTTTGAGAACATAAATACTTATTAATCCAAACATATAAACAAAAGGGATAGAAGCCAGGTCATAAGAGAAATATTTAGTACTATTTTTGGTATAATACATACCGGAAGTTGATTGTGCATTGACATCTGCCCCATGAGCAATGAGTAAACTAACAATGTCAACATGCCCAGCACTAGCAGCTTCCATCAACGGAGTGCAATCTCCTTTGATTCCTCTATCTTCAACGTTGGCGTTCATTGCTAATAATACCTGTAAATTACATAGAAAAAAAAAAAAAAAAAATTGATATTTATAATGATAAATAATGCTATACAATGATTATGATAATAAAAATAACAACAACAATTGAAATGTATTTTCACAATAAATAATTATAACAAACCTGCGCTAGTTCATAATATCCAGCAGAACAAGCAAGAGAAAGCAGACTTTCGCCTTCTTCAGTAGTTTCGTGGACACTACGTCCTTCAGTTAACAATTTTCTAACAGTTCCTACGTCACCGTCAGTACAGGCTTCAACAAGGGAGCGTTTCTCGTTCTGTCCACGTGGATTGTCACTGCGCATCCTAGTCAATGCAGCAGCGGCTTCGTCTAGCGCACAAGAGACGCTAGACGTTAATCTCCTCAATACCTCGTGGTCAGCTAAATGCTTCCCATCACTCGATGACAATTTACCAATTCCTGCAGCTTCCAGTAACGCCTCTAATCTTGCTTGTGTCTCTGGATCAACCGAGCGCTCTGGATCGTCGGGTGTTAATAAAAACTTTGATGATTCAAGGTGATGGTGATCCTCTTCCAATGTCGCTTGTTCGATCGCAGCACGAAATATATCCGGCTGAAAATTTTTAAAATAAAATTCCAATGTCATTTTATAATAAACTATTTATTGATTGATTGACAACTAACGAAAAACAAAATTTTTTCAACACAACGTGCGATTTGAAAAATAATTTACTCTTTTTATCATTCTTTCTTTCAACAACAACTTCAATCTATATTTTTATAATTTATATTTTTATATATCTGTGTATAAATTATGAATAATTATTGAAACTGTTATTAATGTATTTAATCTCAATAATTAAATTAAAATAGTGATTTTAGTATGCCCGACATTTTCTTATGCGTATTAAAAAATAATGACGTCGATTTCCTCTGGTATGCAGAACGAGTTGAAATGAAAAATCGAGGTTATGCGCGTCTGAATACTTATATACATATGAACAAGAGCCATAGACTGTGATGCAGGATAGAGGACATGAATTTTAGGTGAGTTTCTATGAAATAGTGTATCCGTTATCACGAAAAATATTTATAAAATCACACCTACTGAAAATTTTCCAACGAAAAAATATTCTTAACTAAATGAATGAACAATCAACGAGACACGAGGTAAATTTTATTGCCGTGAGAATAGAATAGAATCAAACGTTCGGTAACGTTATAATAAGCTACGATGTACGCTTACTCACTCGCTTACTCTACAAACCCATCGGTCGTAAGGGAACAAAAAATTAATTTACACAAATATAAGTATATAAATTTATACTTATGTGTATAGCTATATATAACGTAAAAAAATTAAACAAACTATACACTACTACTGTGTACTACTATTTTATTGGGAATACGCTGATGATGTTGATGATGATGATGATGGTATGAAGAATGTTACTTTTCCACTCTAATGAAGAGCATATAATTAAAATAAAACGTCACGACATGATCAGTACCACCAGCAACACAGTAAGGATTAATAACAACGGGGAATAGAGAGAAGACACTTTGGTGAAAGTATAATATAAGCTGATGCACGTCAGTATTAGGTATATATATATATATATATATATTGAATCGTTTGAGAGCCTCTATCTCTACCTCTACCTTGGCTGGGTGATTCGGTCTACTCACAGCAACTCAACTCTATACAAAACTACTCGTTCTCTGTTCTCTGCTGAAACCTTAGCTCAAGTCTAACCAACTATACTACCAAGACAAGTCCAGTACCACTGAGAAAATAAAAGACACTAAAGTTGACAATGTACGGCCATTCCAGCTTCAAGTTATTCCAGATAGCTGGGATAATTTTTAAAAAAATTACTCTGACACTTGAGCGCTAATTTTTCGACTCACACACGTCATTTTCGTGTCAATCACACTCACACACACACATTAACATTTATACTTACACACATGACAGACACTCGACATCACATGCAGCCAGACACTCACTCAGTCACTCACCCACTTAACCATTTGCAAGACACTTACAAAATCACTAGTAACTATTTATTATTGTTAAATATTATTTTATTTTTCACCACTTTTATATTTTAGATTTCTCGCACAAGCGGTCTCCAGATTTTATTCACTCCCTTTAGCTACGGCCCTGCTGATTCACTCGCGAGTCACGACACACTATCGAAATGTTTCACTCGGTGCTATCGAGGCGTAACAAAGGATCGACCAGGGGTGGAGAAGAGAAAGGGCACATACTATTCCTTCGACATCTGAATTTCTGTTTCAGAATTTTGTCCAATGTTCCAATATTTAACTGCACAAGATGGTCGGAAGAAAAATATATATATATATATACATATGTAAGAATTTATTTTTAAATAATATTAATTAAATCCTTTAAGGATTTAAAATATGCAGTATTGTATGAAATAATTTTAAAAAATTTTATAAATAATTTATTTAAATTAAAAGTAATAATAATTAATTAAAAAATCAAAAAAACACTTTTTGTGTAATTTAATAGATTATTTTTTAAAAATTTTTAAAAATTAGTTGTCTGGTAATTTCACACTCATAACATGGTGGCGCTTTACATATATGCTGTATATATTTATATTTTTTGTAAGCTGTGTGCAAATATTTTTATTATCAGAATGTGTGAGTTAGTATGATGCACGAGCAATTGTAAAGGAAAAGTAAGGAGGGGCAACACACTATTATATTATATATTATATGTTATATATAACAAGAGGAGAGCATCTCGGAATCTTAAATTGGTGTAAATGACGTAGCCATGGATGATTTAAAGCACGATGCGTCAAGACTAATTAGTTGGGATGGGTTAGATTGCATTTAATAATAACAGTAACAATAAAAAATGACAAGAGGAAAGAGAGAGGTGGAGATAAGAGGCGAGAAAAAATGGAACAGAATGGAGTTTGTAAGAAAGAAAATAATAATTATGTAAATTACGTAAATTAAATGATTTGAGGACACACGGATCTCAGTTTATTGCGAATAAAAATGGCGGATAACTTATACAAGTATTATTATTATTGTAATTGTTGTTGTTTGTGGTAATAATAATAATAGTAATAATAATAATAATAATAAAACTAGTAATAATTATAATGATAATGATAATAATAAAATAAAGGTATATATAATATTGAATGTATTTAACTTGCGTTTTATAAATCCGCGTGCGTGTATTTGACTGACGTCTTACGATGCATACCTTAAAACGCATGTATATTTCCGGTTATGTAATCTACTTTGCGCACAAATTTTACCCCGAGTATTGGATTTTTATTTATTAAAATATGTAATTTGTAAGTATTTTATTAAAAAAAGTCGCTGTTAAGAAAAGCTTAAAAGTTGGTTAGGTATTTTGAAGCTAACGTAAGAAGTGTATAAGCTAAGAAAAAGAGACATTGTAGTTGTTCGCAGTCGCGTATCGTGGATCGTGGCGCAAGTAATGTAAGGCCTCGTGTATTATAGTGGGAGAGCTAGGTCGTAGGCCTCGGATCAAAGGCACCAGCAACCTGACGCGACTGCGGGATACGACCACCACGATCAACACCATTAAATACAATTATTATTATTATTATTATTTTTTTATTGTTTTCTTATTATTTATAACTACACATTAATATACAAATCTCATTGGCATGCCAAAGTTTTTTCGTCAATTTATTTACAAGTCAAGACACTGATTGGCATGATGATAAATAAAAATAAAACAAGAGAGAGAAAAAGTGCATGCATGAAACGATCGGTCCCCATTGATATAAATTTTATTATCCGATCATGTCACAGTCACACAGAACAAACTTACATTGCAAATAAAGACAGGATTTATCTTTTTCTCACTCGACACAAGACCAACTACGGCCTCTCACTATCGCGCTGTCTTTATCCTTTGCCTGCAATTCTCTTACTTTTTATTATTATTATTATTATTATTATTATTATTAAAATTATTAATATTACTATTGTTATTATTAATATTACTGTTGTCGTTATAGTTATCGTTATAACTGCACATATACATTCGAATTTCCACACGTCATAACTGAGGTATTTAATAATGTAAACCACAGATTAAAAACGTAGTCGTGTTTAAAAGTACAATTTCACCAAGTTGATTAATTTTTTTTCACCGGTCGTTGTCAACTAGTACCCACTTCCCCACGCCAGATAACTTATTATTATTTTTCTTCTTTAAACATTGTTTCCTAATAAAAGGAATAGAACGGTAGGATGACTTTTTGGGTGATTCAGCGGTTGCGTTGATTTGATAAAAAAAAGAACTAGGGGAAAAACAATACGAGGAATTGTCGAATGGAAAATGAATAAATGATTAATGCATGCATATATACATACGTATTAATAGTAATAGTAAATGTATAGTTATGAAGATGGATAAATAGATATGTGTATGTTGATGTACATGTATATTATAGATATATATATATATATATATATATATATATATATAGGCTGAATTAAAAGGATGGAATGAATGAGGGCCTGATGATGGCAGTGAGTTGAGGAAGGCATACTGCGATGCGGAGGAAAGGCCGCCCCTCGTGCGCAATGAAAATGGATGGAGAGGAAGAGAAGGAACGAACGAACGAACGAACTAAAGAAAAAAAAGAAAAAGAAAAAAAAAAGTTCAAAGTAGGATGTGTAAGTGTGTATGAAAAGAAAATGGAGGATTGATGGTGGATAGTAAAAATGATGATAATGAGAATGATTTAAATAGTACTAGTTACCTCAGAAATACTGTCCTCTTCACTCTCGGATGAGTCTGTCATAAAGCGTGGTGGAGGTTCCGAAAAGGTCTCGGTCTCAGACTTTGTGGGGCTAGAGTTCGAGGACTGGGGAGTAGACGACGTAATGTCGTGTACAACACTCGTTCTATCGTTATTCTGGCTATCCGAGGATGTTCCTTGTGCTACATTCTGCATTTTTACCTACTAAATTAATCATATGACACCAATATTATTGTTCTCGTGTTTAAATACACACATTGAACACTTTTATTATTTATATATATATCGTTAATATCCAATTTAGACTTTTTTTTTTATTATTATACTATTCACAATTGCCGTCATTCACGTAAGCTAACACCCGCCATGTCTACTATGGCCGACTATGGCCGACCAGAGCCAGTTCCTAGTCTTTTCCCCAACCCAACCAACCAACCTACCCGGATACCCTCCGCAGTTGCTGCTGCTATTCGAAGGATGCAAACGTTAGGGGCCGCTTACAGCCGTGCTCATGCTCGCGATACTTATTTGCTCACTCTAACTCTATCGCTCGCCCTTTTTCTGTCTCTCGCTTACTAAACACTCTGTTACTTTCTCTATCTCGCTTTCAAGCACTATCATTTGCGGCCCAATCGCAAAAAGACCTGAAAATCCTACATATATATACTTCACTGTGTGCATTTCACAAAAATACAACACAGTCGCCATCTACTGCCGCCTAATTTAAATTCTCTCTCTGAGAAAATTTATTTATTACAATTTTATATTTTGTGTGCTTGTATAAATTATAATACTTTCGACACTCTCCAACTTTATTTACTTATATTGTTATAAGATTTTTCTATTCATTCTTTTGGTTTATGCTAATTATCAACATGACAATCCATTGTTACTGCTCCATTATTCATACTGGTCAAATTTAAATCAAGTATACAATTACAAATTATATTTTGTTTAATATGAATTATCTTTTATTGTATATTATATTTTTTTTAATGTAACATTATGAAAAATAGTATTAAGTTTTTTTTTTTAAATTACAAAAATGGTTCGATATTTATTTCTACAACTGAACAAGGACGACGAAGATCAAATTTATGAAGAACGTCTGGATGAAGAACTCCCATTTTACCAATCACTTTCCCATGTACGATTACATTTGCACAGTACTCAGAAAAATACGTAGGATCTAAAGAAAAATATTTAGTACAGTATTCCAGTCAATTTAATAATTATTTTATCCAGTATGATACTAAAGTTAGCCGACATTTTTAATTTTTTTTAATAATTAAATTAGAACAAAAAAAATATTTTTAAAAAATTGCACTTACAGTTTTTTACAAATGAAATTTTTTTTCTTTTTTTTTGTAGTCAATTTTTTGAATAAAAAAATTTTGAAGTGTCGGCTAACTTAATTTTCATTTATCCAGTCAATAATTATAATAAATAAACAATACCTTCAGTTGCTTCAAGATAATAACCATCATCGGTTTTGTTGACATTCCACGGAACTTCAAGCAGCGACATAATTCTATCAAGAAGTCCATGAATGACCTCCAAACCAGCAGATTTATTATAATAAAGAGCGCAAAGTCTTCTTTGGTTTCTGGCTCCGCATTCCGCTTGAGGATCTCGCAGTACAACATCCGATATTTCATACAGTTTCAATGGCAGCGGCATATTCTTATTCGCTCCAATCGTTTTCAATAAACCTGGCAGCAAAGTAGTCCTCACTACTTGAAATTCGAGTGTCTTGGGATTCGAAATAGTAACCGCAGGTATTTGATCAAAACTCCAGCCCAATTTATCAGAAACATCTTCGCGCGAGCACAGTGCAAATGTTAGAGTTTCTGTGAATGCACATTGCGCTAATTCTTGACGTAAGTGATCGGTCAATTTATTCAGAGGAAATTTTTTCCCTACCGACAAAATTTTGGGAACTGTCTTCAAGATGTTATTGTACCCCCAAGCGATAGCAATATCCTCATAAATATCTCGTGCATGAATAACATCATGACGCGTTGGTGGTATTTCAACGGACAAAATGTTGCCGTTTTTAACTTGGCTTTTTAAGCACATTTTTGACAATAATTTGGCTACTTTCTGGGGTGTTTCTTTTATTCCTATAAAATTAACCGCGTCGTCGCTGTTGATTTCATTGGAACGGTATTGAAGTGTAGGTGAACGAACTACTTCTTTAGTTGCTTCATAAATTATTTCTACTGGTTCAACCGTATATTTATCTTTACAGTATTGACTGAAGGCACTTACCAATATATCTACCGCAATTTGACCCTAGGAAATCAGTTAACGTAATAAATTATTTGTAATTCAATAAAATATTCAATTAAATCAATTAAAAGATAAAAATACCTTAGTCAAATCAGTATTAGTACATTCGATAAAAATATTCTTGGTATTTAAAGTTATTTTAGAGTGATCACTATTAATTATTGGTGGTAATGACAAAACAACACCATTACTGTCATAAATAATTGGATAAACTGGACTATCCTTAATTATTGGTAAATACTGTTTCAATTGTGCATGATGCTATAAATTAACATGAAATAAATAATTATATCAAGAAAATAATCCAAATTGTAAATAAAATTAATATAAATAAAACTAACTGCGTATAAATCCATAATCTCTTCACCATTGTACTCTTTATCTTGATTAAGAGGCTTGAAATTAATATCCTTAGGAGGTTCAGCATTATAAACAAAGGGACCTTTGATAGTATCTAGATCGTGTGTGCCGATCGATACCAGCGACCGCTTTCTACCTAGATTTTGATGTAGTTTATCTTGAAGGTCTATAAAGCTGTCGTATGACTCCTTGGTTAATGTTATTCCTCGCAATATTGCGCCAACGACAAAAGGTCGTACGTTCATACACTATTACAAATAGTAATAAATTATTTTATTACTTTAATAAATAATTAACTTCTAATAGACATTAAAGATTGTGAATAATTTATCGGTCGGCTTACCGCGCTTTTTACAGTTATTTTTTCAAGCTTGTTTTGAGATGTCGGGTAAATAAGCTTGTAACGTGGCTGAGGAATTCTATAAATAAATAATAAATTAATTATTTGACAACTCGTATTAACTTAGACATAAGGATAATATTGAATGAGTATTTACTTTTCTAAAAATACTAATAGACCAGCAGTTAAACCTTCTAAACACAATAGATCATATCTATTGGCAGGTACGTCTATTTTGTATATTATTTCTTCAGATGCACCTTTACTGCTTTCTGTTCCTTGTTCTTTAGCAATTATCTGCTGCTCGGTAGTCTTTAAAAAAATTAAAATTAAATATTTTATTGAATAATAGAAAAAATTATCATGTATTATAACTTACAACTTCATCAAGCTCCAATCCAAAATCAAAGCACAATTTTTGGAATTCATCATCGGCTAAAAAAAAATAGTTGGTTATTTAATAATTAAAATACATTTATCTAGTTATAATAACAATAAATATGTGTTAACGTACAATATGATTGACCAAGTGCTTTGAAGAGAGAATCACGTTTCACACTTACTGTCGGCATGATTTATCGGCTCCGGATTATCCTGAAATGATGTAACGAATTTATTTATTTGATAAGGTACTCATTAATATAATAATAAAATGTTGTTTAAGTGTATTAATTTATAAAAAAATAATTTCAATTGAAAATTTAATTATAGGTAATTATAAATACCGGAATAAGGATTATGAATGTTATAAATAAAACTTTATTGTTGATGACGAAATATTTTTTTTCACGTAAATATATTCCGCTGCACATGTGACTTATGGCTTATGACTAAAAACCGCATTCATATCCATATGTCAGTGTTTACAAGAATACCACTCTGGCGGTTCATAAAAATGATTTCTGTATTACTCAATACTTAAGTAATGGCACTAGTTGTTAATTCTTCTTAAAATGTTTTATTATTTGAAAATAATATAAATTTTGCTGAGTGATGGTTAATTAACATATAATTATAAAGTTCTGTTAAATAAAAACCAATAATCATTAAATTTAAATGTATAATGATACCTTATATTTAAATTAAGCAAACAATTATAATAAACCAACTTAATATTAATAATTATTTATTAATTACAATATCGTTTTTTTTTTTTTTTTTTTTTTTTAATGAATTGAAAAGTACTAAATTTCAACTTAATAAATGTAAGTTATTTTATTCTGAAAGAATCACATTCTTTGTAAGTGAAAAAAATGAATCGTATGAAATTAAAAAAAAAAGAAAAATTTGATCAAATAAGGTTTTAAGTATTAAAAATTTAATACTTTTCAATTATTTACAATTTTATATTATTAATAGTTATTATTTCAATTCAGTAGAACATGAATTTAATTTAAACATACATTATTATTATCCGATACAAAGACAGTTGATTGCGTGATAAAAAAAACGTGAGTGATAAGTGAAAGATGGCAGAATAATTATTTTGTACAATGTATTTTTTAAAAATTTAAATTACGTTTACATTCTAATTACTCTGAAAAATATGACTTTTAAGTCTTCTCTTGAATTTATTATTTTTTTAAGGTATTAATTTATTTGCGTATCAATTTAATTACGTGTCTTTTGATTCATCATTTTATAAATTGATGGAAAAATACGCTTGATCACGGAAGACTTATAATTATATTAAAGCTCACTCTATCAATTTCTTTGCTCTGAAGAAGCGTCTTAAATAGAATATTTGCCATGTTGCTAAACCTAATAGACAGCACATTGAAAATATGCTGAAGTACAGTACTCGTGAATTTGTTTGCTCTGAAAAAATAAAATAGATATTTATTAATATTTGATTAAATAATAATTTTACGTTTTAAATTAATGAATAACCAATTACCGTTTGTATCTCTCATTTCTTCTTCTCTTTGGCGCATTCTTGAAAAGTCTTGGACGATACTCTCAGACAAGTCCTCTAGGCGTTTCAATTCAACTTCAATGGGTTTAAGTTTAGCGGCTTCTCCAAGCTATTGATTTAAATAAGTACATAATAAATATTAGCTAACTTTTAATTATGTAAATTTTAAATTATTGAAAAAAACATCTCAAGATCTAGTTGTATAGAAAATCAAAAACAATACGAGTCACGTAAATAACTAAAAACAACAGTACATTTGATCAACGAGGTGGCAATCAATTTAAGTGTAATGTTATTGATCATTAATTAATGGAACAAAATACAGTAATTAATAGATTATAGGTAATAGGATAATAGTGAACACACAAGCAAAAGAAATTAGCAAATTTCATTTACCATCTGAGCGCCCGAATAAGTTCACATAAAAAAGAAGAAAATAATAAAAATATCTGTTTGGATTACTTAGAGAAAATATAATTATTCATTTTATTAAATTTACATAAAAAACTTACCGCTTCATAATTTTTAGCCTCAATACCATGTTTAGTTATTAATAAAATGTCTTGTTTCATGCCTCGTTGATCTGTGAAATCATCAGTGGAAATTAATAAATAATAATTACTCATTAATGATAATAAAATAATACTAACGAGCTGGTAAATGTGAAGTAAAACAAATTTCCAAAGTATCATAGTTTTCAGTGACAAATGAAAATTTCAAATTTCTGTCATGGGGAATATCTTCTTTTTGTGACAGTATATGACTCTTTGAATCTTTTACCTGAAAATAACAATAATGACCATTAGATTTAATGTTTATACAAATGATTGAACCATATTGCAGGTTAGTAACCAGCTTTTTAACCTTAAAGATTGTGTTGACGTAATCAAAAAAAAAGTAAATTAAAAAGTGCAAAATCAAACTTACCACGTAGTCAACACGTTGACCGGGTGCCTCGGATACTTGATATTCACCAGTAACTAATACCTGAGCTTGTATTTCTTCTTTAATACATTTTTTAGCACTTGGTTGAAGTTCAAACATTATACTCTGTACATCGGCAATTACTATAAATAGTAACACCACTACACCATAAAACAATGAATTCATTTTTATATTAATAATATTTATTAACAATATATAAACTTATTATTACAGCCTACTTGTGCTCTTATTTTATTATTTTATGCACTTTCTTTTATTATTAAAAATGTATATTTTTCAGTACTATAGCTAGCAATGTCAACCACGTACGTCTGTCAACATCGTGATGAGTTGGCAGCCATTGGAGAGAGATATGAAAAAAAAAATTATATTATTATTGTTATCATTTCGACTATTATTATTATTTTTGCCGTATAGTGATTATTTCCGGTTTCCATACTACTTTCCGGACACTGCGGCCAATCAAAATTAAACCGCTAATTTTTGAAAAAAAAAAAAAAATTGTGCCATGAAAAAAGTTTTACATACTTAATTTTTTAATCATTCTCAATTACAATTACTTTTATTTTTTATTTTCAATTAAACAATTTACGCCTTGATTGTAAAAAATCTTGTTAAAAAGTGATTGCAACCTTAAAAACGGTATCGTGCTGCCACCTAGTGGTTCTATTCAATATTTATCTGTCAATGGTAAAAAAGTGACATCGCCATATTTGCAAGATATTTTTCGAACGCTCTCCAATTGTTGAATAATTTTTTTTTTTTAATATTAAAACAAATAAATATAAATTTTTTAGGTCCTAAAAATTAGAATATACAAAAAAAAATTTTTATTCAATAAATATGACGGAAATTTTTTTAAACAGTCATTAGAATTCAATAATGCATATGTTTCTACATAGATGGTAAAAACAATTTTCAGCATGTGTATGTGATCCTGTTGAACAAAAGCAGAGTTCAGTGATCGATGTTACGTGTGTAACAATGTAATCATCCGTATTGAAGTAAGTTTAAAAAATAATTTGCAAATCTTAATTGCAAATAATTAGCTTGATGAATAAGTAACTTGGTAATTTTTAACTGGTACTTTTAATAATAAACAAACAATTTTCCGTGTGTGTTAAACTACGTAGAAAAAATCAAAAATTCACAACAAAAACAATATAACCCTGTGAATTTTTGTTATTATTTTTTAGCTGAGATAAGAAGAGGATATAATTAACAAGTATTTGAAATAATTAAATGGCCTTATTGTTTACAAGCATGTGGGACTCGACAATGTTCCTGAGTACACTGACACCAAAGTTTTACGTAGCATTGACTGGAACATCATCGTTGATATCCGGGTTGATATTGATATTTGAATGGTGGTATTTTCGTAAGTACGGCACATCATTCATTGAGCAAGTATCACTGAATCATATATCACCTTGGATCGGAGGTAACGACAGCGCATCTGATAACAATAACACAAATATAAATAATACTAATAACTCGTCTAATCAACAGAGTGTACCAGAGTGTAAAGTATGGCGTAATCCGATAAATTTATTTCGTGGTGCTGAGTACCAACGTTTTTATTGGGCAACTAATAAAGAACCATTGACATATTATGATATGAATCTTTCAGCACAAGACCATCAAACATTTTTTACCTGCGAAGCTGATACCGGCAAAGCTGAGTACGAGATTATGCAGACGGCCTGGCGTGAACGAAATCCTGTAGTGAGGATAAAAGCTGCACACAGTGCTCTTGAGCACAATGCTGAATGTGCTCCAGCTTATATTTTGTTAGCTGAAGAAGAAGCCACGACGATATTGGAAGCTGAAAAAATTTTAAAACAAGCGCTAAAAGTTGCTGAAAATAATTACAGAAAATCACAGAATACTCAACATCAAGGTACTACTGCTGAACTACGTCGGGATACAAATGTATTGATTTATATCAAAAGAAGGCTAGCAATGTGTGCTAGAAAACTCGGTAAATTAAAAGAAGCCGTAAAAATGTTTCGTGATTTAACAAAAGAAGTACCGCCAATAATGAATGTATTAAATATTCATGAAAATTTAATAGAAGCGTTATTGGAGATGCAGGCATACGCTGATGTACAAGCTGTTTTGGCTAAATATGACGACATAAGTTTGCCTAAATCAGCGACAATATGTTATACAGCAGCTCTGCTAAAAGCTAGACTAGTTGCGGATAAATTTTCTCCGGATATAGCCAGCAAGCGGGGATTAACTACTGCTGAGATGTCTGCTGTCGAAGCTATCCATCGGGCTGTTGAATTCAATCCTCATGTACCAAAATATCTATTGGAAATGAAGCCTCTTATTTTGCCACCTGAACACGTATTAAAACGAGGTGACTCGGAAGCTATTGCATACGCTTTTTTTCATTTATCACACTGGAAGCAAATGGAAGGTGCTTTGAACTTGTTGCACTGCACGTGGGAAGGAACCTTCAGGATGTTACCGTACCCATTGGAACGTGGTCATCTTTTTTATCCGTATCCAACTTGCACCGAATGCGCAGATCGTGAATTGCTACCCTCATTTCACGACGTCAGTGTTTATCCTAAGAAAGAATTGCCCTTTTTTATTTTATTTACTGCTGGACTGTGCTCATTTACGGCTTTGCTGGCTCTTCTGACTCACCAATATCCTGATACAATGGGTGTTGTCGCCAAGGCAATGCTCGCTTGGCTTTCTTTACCTTTTTACTATATCCTTGATAAATTAGAAGCTATCTTACCATCAAATTTGTTACAACAATTATCAAGAATATAAAATTAGCTTAATTATTTTAAAATTATAATTGATAATCAACGATAAATGTTGTTTTTTAATTGAGTTGTATTTAATGTGATATTCTTAAAACATTTATTGTAATATTTTTTATTCGTTTTTTTTTTTTTAATCACGAGAATCTCGTACAGACTTCCAAGGCCCTGAGGACTGATTTATTATTAATTAACTAATTGTATTTATTTAGTGTATTTTTTTGTTTAATAGTTTATAATTAGTGTGACTATGGCAAATGTACAAATAAAAGAAAAAAAAAATTATAAACGCATAATAAAAAAAATTTAACTATTTTTTATTGTATCATTATTGATTACTTACAATTTTTCTTTAATTATAAAATAATTCCCGCCTCTTAAAGCGCCACCATGTAATCCAACGGTAGAAGTAATAACTGTCATAAAAATAAAAATAATATATTGTGTACATGCTATGGAGACTATACACTATATATGTATAGTACATGCAAATATGCTTTTATTTATTTTTATTAAATATTTGGAGCATCAACATGGACGTACGTAGAAGAGAACGTGAGAATATTGGATTAAAAGGAGTAAGTCAAGTCTGGGGTAAATCTCCGACAAGAATAGAAGAGTAAGTACTTGTATTATTTAATATTCAAATAAATTATTGTAAAATTTTTCCAGATTTCAATACATTTTTAAGTATTCTAACCTAACTTGCAACGACTGTCAATATTTTATAAATTGTTTATATTCTTAGTTCTGACGACGAAGATGAAATAGCGGTTAAAAAACGTGATCATTCACCGGAGCGACGTAAAAAAAGTAAAAAAGACAAGAAAAAAGTAAGTACTATTTTTTTTTAAGAATAGTTCAAGGATTCAGTACTTATTTGTTCATGAATTAATTATCATCTATTTATTTTCATGCTAATTAAAATTAATTTGCATTGCAGAAAAGTAAAAAATTAAAAAAGGAAAAGAAATCTAAAAAAGAAAAGAAGAAGAGTAAAAAAAGGAAACGTAAATACTCAGATAGCAGTTCGAGTGATTCAGGATCATCCGATGACGACGATGGTCAAGTTAAGTGGGTTGAGAAAGGGAGCGAACAAGTTAAAAGTAAAAAGAAGCGTAGATCCAGTTCTGATGACAGTGGTGATGAAAGTGTTGTTGGTCCACTACAAAAACAACACGTCACTCTGTCTGCTAAAGACTTTGGTAAAGCTTTATTACCTGGTGAAGGAGCTGCAATGGCTGCTTATATTGCTGAGGGTAAACGTATCCCACGTCGTGGTGAAATAGGTCTTACTTCTGATGAAATAGCTTCCTATGAAAGCGTTGGATATGTTATGAGTGGTAGCAGGTACTTATTATTTTCTTTAATTGATGTTTTGTTTGTTATTGAAAATGATTAATTAATAATTTTATTTTATAGGCATCGTCGAATGGAGGCTGTTCGTATACGAAAAGAGAACCAAATTTATTCAGCGGACGAGAAACGAGCGTTGGCGATGTTCAGTAAAGAAGAACGTCAGAAACGTGAAAACTTAATTCTAGGACAATTTAGAGAAATGGTCAGTCAGAAACTGGCTCAGGAAGAAAAGAAATGAATGTATATTTTGTAAATAAGATTTTTTTATTATTAGATTAATTCATTAAATTATTTAAGTATTATATACTTGTAAATACTTGTTTACCAATTTTAACTTAAATAATCAATTTCAATGAGTATCATTAATCTTGAGTATTTATTTTTATGTAACAAAGATTATGATTTTTGTTTAGTTTCCCATTCAGACCAACCTCCAATATAATTGTACGCACTGTAAAATTAAAAATTTAATTAGATAATTAAATAAGTGAATAAAATTTTATTTGTAAATAATTACAAAGCTTACTTTTCATATCCAAGTTTCAATAATTCCTGTTGTACATTAGCACTTCTCATTCCAGACCTACAACTCAATACTATTTTAGTATCCTTGTCAGGTTTTAATTTGTTAAACTGATTTTTAAATTCTTCATCGGTCAGATTTAACATTTGTGTAACATTTCCCACTTAAAAAAAAAATTTTTTTTAACCAGTTAATGACATTAAAGTTAGCAGTCACTTGACAATTTATTAGTTTTATTTAACAAACAAATTATTTTAAAAAAATTGCATTTTTAGTTTTTTAAAATTTCTACTTGTCAATTTTTTTGTCGTAATTTAATTGATAAAAAATTATTAAATATCTGCTAAGTTAATTTTCATAACCAATTAACAATTTATTCAACACGAAATAAATAAAGAAAAGATAAAAAAATATATTTACTGGGTATATGAATACTTCCAGGTAATTTTCCAGTCTCATCAATTTCTTTTTGCTCTCTAACATCAATTATCAGAACCTTATCATTTTTTTGATCGGCTAGAAGTTCTTCATAACCAATTATATTTTTTTCATCGCCCTGACCTCGCATATTTTCAAGTTTCGTCGAGTAATTCACACTGCTTACTAATCCCACTCTACCTAGAGTCGAAAAAATAAAAATCCATATAAATAAAAATATCTCTGTAAAAAAAAAAAAAAAAAAAATTTGCTCATATACTTTTTGTAAATTGATTAAGTCCCCCAACACTAAATACTTTACATAATTTATCTTTATCTTTACAAATATAACCACAACATCGCAACAACACAACCCGATAGTTTCGAATAATTAAATTATTCATAACAACAATATCAATAAATACTAAAAGCAATAATGATTATTATTCAACAATATCTTCCTCCGTTTTCTCTTTTAATCTTGTCCTTATTTTTTTTACTCCAATTATATAATTTTTTTATTGCATATTATCTTTACTCGAACAAATGTTCGGCTAATTGGGAATATTGTTAATAAATACAACTGCTTAATTGTTCAGTTACAACAATGCAATTTATTTACAATGCTTCTCCCAAATGTCAACAAAAGAAAGTTGTCAATTTTACAAAAAGTATTTTTATTTAAAAAAATTAATATTTAATTAATATAAATATTTATATTGTTTAGATTCATATTATAAAATATTGTATCTATACATACAAGTACATATATATACACATATATGCATATATTATTCATCTGAATTTATATGACAAGCATACAAATGTATAGACACTTTAGACACTTATCTCGTGGAGCAGAATAAAAAAAAAAAAAAAAAAAAAACAACTAAAATTAAATAAAGTAAAAAGAGAAAAAAAAACAGATAGTGATCAAGTGAAAATTGTAAGAGAGTTGTGGCCCCTTTTTTAACATGTGTCGCGCTCTTACGAGGAATGTGCAAAGTTAGTAATTTTTATTTTTCTCCTCCAACTGCTATGGACTAATGTAATGTAAGAGACTGAGACGGAGTTTCTGTGTTCAGTGTATATTATAACTTATTTTTTTTTTTTATTACAATTTGTTTATTATTTAAAGTCCTTTTTTAGTAATAATATCCTTCTCCAGAGTAAGTTCTTATAAAAATTAACAAATTTTAATATTAATCAAACATCTAACGGCAAGTTAAATTTATTTATGATAATTTAAAAAAAAAAGTAATGATAATAAAAATAAAGTATAAGATGAAAAATTTGTGGCGATTCCATCCTTTTGTTTGTTTGTGTAACTCTCAGACTTTATATGTGTGTTTCTAAAATAATTGTTCCATTATTGCTATTGGTATTGGTGTGCTACCTTACAATTAATTGATTGGTTGATTAATTTAATTGTTGATATTTATATACAGTATTTATAATTTTATCAATTGAGTGTGTGATTCATTTGTTAGGTATTTGGAAACGATGAATTAAATTGATTGTAATATGAGATTATATAAATTCCATAGTGTTGACACCTCTGTCATTCATCTGGCTCATCACGGCCACCACTTTTTTATTATCATTATCATTTTCCATTTTTTTAATTATTTTTATTATTAAAATATACTGATTTTTAAGTGAGAGTATTATAATTAATTAATTTATTTGTGTACAGATAAATTTGAAGATAAAAAATATAAATATACCCACAAATGAACGTATAAAATGAGTTCTATTCAACAAACTGGTAGATTTCTGCCATTTACTAATAACAGCAGCAATATACAGCGCAAGCAGTTGTCGACTCAAGGTAATTTTAATTTAGAGATTTTTTAACAAATAAATGTTTCATTTTATTTTATTTATTTTTTTTACTCATTAATTTTTTAGGAGGTTTGCCACAAAGTTTGAGCGGAAGTGATACCGATGTATCAACATCAAATGAAAATTTAAGCAATGAAGAAAGGTATGTCATAAGACATACTGCAAGACAAGAGCCTCAGGGTCAAGAAAATCAACAACAGCAAAGTCCATCAAGATCTTCCAGTCATAAAGAAAATATACCAAATATTCAAGTAAATATTACATAAATAAATTATAATATATTTAAATTCAAATTCTCTTATCATGAATTATTTATTTCAACTTTAAAAAAAATTTCTATTGCATTTAACTATTTCTACTAGTTAAAAATTAATTACTTGCATGGATAAATAATGAATATGAATATTTTTAAAAACTAGGGTAACTTGATAAACCGTAACAGTTTGAAGGATAGTTTAAATGGATCAAACAGAAACAGTTTAAAGGAGAGTTTAAATGGGTCAAATAGAAATAGTCTTAAAGACAGTATCAATGGATCGAATCGTAATAGTTTGAAGGACAATTTGAGTAATCGAACAAGCGTGGGATCTAACCGTAGTAGTCTTGATATATCAACTAGTTCATATAATACACTCATTATTCATAATGCTAATGATGAAAACGGCTGGTCACCATCTGGACGGTTGTCTAGTATCGTTCGCGAGCATGGTGGCGATGTGGGTTATTTGTATAATGAAGGAGGTGGTGGTGGTGGTGGTGGTGGTGGTGGTGGTGGTGGCGGTGGTGGTGGCAAAGGTCACTCAAATAGTCCGACAATGCAATCCTTAACGAGTTTACCGCATGACGAACGTTTTTATGAGCAACCGAACAATGGTGGATGTCAAGAAATTAATGATATCCCTGATGATTATCTTAATCAGTCTCAGGTACTCTATTAATTATATTTATTTGTCTATTACTTTATACTTCTTTTTTTTTATTTTTTTTGACTAATTTATAGTTAATCAAAATTCTTAAAATGCCTGTAAATTTATTTATAAACCTATTTTATGGTCAATAGGTTTTGAAACATCTTGCGAAAGAAGTTAAGCCGTATTCAAAGCTCCAGAGTGGTGGAAATAATTTAGAAATAAGAATGCGCGAAGTTGATAGAGCTAAACAAATAAATAATGAGTTCAACGATCGGTCTCAGTCGTCTTATATCTCGATATTAATGCCTGCGAAAAGTAAACACAGATTATTAGGGCCTACGGAAAAATTGACACTATCAAGATCACAGCCAGATTTATCGCGAATTGATAAATTAGATTTCGATGGATATGATTCTCCTGCAACATCTCCGCGGTAATTTATTTTTATTTAATTTAATTATTTATTAATAGATTAAATTAAGTAATTTTAAAATAATTATCTTAATTACAGGCCACAAACGAAAGGTAGAGAGGAGGTTGAAATAGCTACTGGAGAAATTTGGCCTCCATCTGAAATGGTCCAAATAATAATTCAAGAAAACAGTGCCTTAAAACTTGAGTTAGAGCGATGTTACAGCAAGGTAGCAAAGTCTCAAAAATTAGAGCAAGAAATATCAAAAGTTCACCGAGCACACGAAGAGTTGGCTGCTTCATGCGAGCGACGTGAGAAACTTGAACGTGCAGCCCGTCTAAGGCTTCAAAACGACTGTCGTCGATTAACTGAGTTAAATCGTGCTTTGAGAGATCAAATTGATTTACTCTCTTCACGATCTGATAATCCACCTATTGTTGAATCTATGCGGAAAGAGTTGACGCAGAGAGAATTACTAATTGGGCAACTTATAACGCAGAGTAAATTTCTTTTACTTGATTACAAAACTTTTTTTTTTTTTTAAATATATATTTACAATTTTTTAATAATTTATTTGCACAGATAAAGAATTAGCAGCGTCCAAAGACAGGCAGGAAATAGAATTAGCTGCACAGAGAGCAACACTGCAGGAGCAACGTACGCATATTGACATTTTAGATACGGCATTAACAAATGCCCAAGGAAACGTTGTACGTTTAGAAGAAGAGGTAATAATAATAATTTTTATTATTATTATTATTATTATTATTATTTTTGTTTAGAGAATAATTGATTTAATTGTTTTTGGTGTTATTTTGTATATTTAGTGCCGTAAAAAACAAATTTATGTAGAGCGAGTCGGTCAATTACAGCGTGCGTTGTCGTCATTACAAGCGTCAAGTGACAGACGTGAAGAGACTGAGCGACACTTACGTGGTCAACTCGAACGCGAATTACGTGAAGGTGGTAGTGGATCTAATGGCCACGAGCAGTCATCAAACGGCGAGACAATAACTGAATTAAAGAGACGATTACGCGAGCGAGATGAAAAAATAATGTCGCTTGAAGGTGACGTCGCTAAATGGGAGCAACGATATTTGGAGGAGAGCGCGTTACGTCAAGCAGCTATTGATGCAGCTAGTCTTCCCAAGTAATTTAATTCAATTCACTATCAAATTATTAAATAACAAATAATAGTATTAATAATAATTCATCTGTTAGGGATGCTAAAATAGCAGCTTTGGAGAAGACAAGTCAAGACGCTGAAAAAATGATCGCTGAAGCAAGATCTGAAAAAATGCGTCATATGGACGAAGTTCATGCCGCTCAGAAAAAATTGGCTGATCTCGAATCTCGGTAATTATATTATAAATAATAAAACAATTGAAAATGTGGGGAATGACAATATACACAGAAAGAACAAGATGACACTAGATATCTGATTTACAATTTTTGTTTGGGGTAATTTTATGATAAAACTTATCGTTTTGCTGAAAATCGCGAAAAACGCGTTTTTGTGGCCTTTGACCCCGAGTAAATTTTTTTACACATGCCGCATCGATGGGGACTTTTCACATTTCATTTATAATAGTGTATTGTACAATCCTACCAATTTTCAGCCAAGTAGGAATTTTTTTAACCTTACCTCTATTATTTGGTCTAATTTGACCGGACTATCATCCAAAATTATACTTAGAGATATCTGTGGTGAAAAAAAAATTTCAGATAGTAACATCTGGGATGATATCCAGTGTCATCTTGTTCTTTCCGTGTAATATAGCGAGAATTTTTTTTGTAAATAAATGAAATTATGTAGAATGAAGGATCTCGAGTCGAAGCTGGCTGAGCGAGATGCAATGATACGTGTCCTTCAGAAACATACATACGACAAAGACAGTAGCAGCAGCAGTGGAATGGGTAGTTATCCAGCGGTACATTCCTCTCATTCAAGCACGTCTGCAGATCACACAGGATTAACAGGCACTCCTGAATTAGGTAGGTATTGTTCTAATGTCACAAAAGCAATCGATGCATCTGCATTGTCTCATCGTAGTTTCACGTATGTCATCAGTGAGCAGTGTGTTGGGTGGGACCAGTGGCTATGGCAGTACTGGAACGTCCTACGGCGTCACTGACAGCTATAAGTATCGCAACCAAGGTAGTTTCGAACAAACAAACAAGAGTCTTGGTGATCAACTCAAAGAACTTGATTCCCAGCTACTCAGTAAGGTAGGCAGAATCTCTACAGTGTAGTTGTGTGTTCAATTTGTTACAATATATAGTTATATATATTATTTTTATTATTATCATTATTACTATTATTATTATTAATATTATATCATTTTTATTACTATTAATTAATATTATTTTTAAAATACATATTTTTATTTTTGTTCTGCGTTTTGATTCATTTTAATTGAGAAAATCAACTTTTTTCATTGTCATGCTTCAATTCATTATTCTCAATTTATAATTCGCATTGTTATTTTAATTTTTAATAATAATAATAATAATAATTATTATTATTATTATTATTATATTGTTATTGTAGAAACGGGAATCAATTGTTAAAATTTTATAACACTATTTTTTAATTTATTTATAATCGCGTACTCTTATTTGTTTTTGTTTTTGTTTGGCAACGGTTATTAGATTTTTCAGATTATGAAAAGAATATTTTTAAAATAAGGTCAATTTTCACAAGGTACCGTATTAGCATTTGTGTGGAGTGATTATTTTAATAGAAATTTTTATTTTTTTATTTTATAAAATTGAGAATATTAAACATTGTCATTTATTTATTTATAATTTATATTCATTTTTTTATTTATACTTTTTTAATTGTTATATTTTTATTATGACTATAACCATAACATTACTTGGCAATTTTTAATTATTCTCGGTATGCTTGTTTTATAAATCACGCAATTTTCAATAAAAACTGCATAACATTTAAGGTAATTCTTTCGCTGCTTAAAAAATTAAATTAGAATTAGATCTAATTTAATTTTTAGCCTCAAAACAACTATTTATATAAACATATTTGTTTTCGGGCTAAATATAGACATATATTTTTATATATTATTTTAGTTATTTATTCAACGTATAGTAAAGTTATAAGAATTGTAATATTTAGTCTAAAAAAAAGCTGACAGTAATATAAATATTATTATTTAATTAACAAATAAAAAAAATAAATCTATAGCTTTAATAAAAATATAAATAATAATTTAATGCGTAAATAATAAATTAAAAAAAAATATATCCATATATAATTCGTATTGTGGAGATTCAACTAAAAGATAGAAAAGTTTTTTTTAAATGTGTAAATTATTATTTAATTACTTTTGATAAATTCTCAATAAATTAAAATAATTTTTTTTTTTTTTTTTTTTTTTTCATAGTTTTAAAATTGATTAACTAGCAAAAGGATTACTTTGAAGATTTGATATCTAAATAAAATCCACAATACCCATAAATAGTTTTTAAATATATTGAATTAGATAAAACTAATCTATACAGTAATTAATGTCGGTAATTAGATAAAAAAAAAAAAACAATGTATTTAACCTTTTAATAAAGGTGAATAATTATCAAAAGTTTGTCAATAAAAATCAACTTTTCTAAAGTCTGATAAATTGATGAAATAATTTAAAATTGAGTCCAATAAAACTATCGATATCTCACAATCATCTTAGTAGATTGTTAAATTTTTTTTACTTCATTTGCTTTATTCATTTACTTTACACACAATTAATTATATTGACATGTTATTAATTATTATTTATCATTTAAATTTTATTAATTATTATTATTATTATAAAATAAGTGTAGAGAGAAGATACCTGATTTTCCGTGTAGTGATTAATAATATTATTTGTTTTTTTATAGTTTTTAAAATTTTGATTTGAAGTTTGATCCCAACTAATTCCTCTGTAAAAAAAGATGAGAAAAATCCTATCCTAACAATCAAGAGTGCGCATGAGCTATTGTGGCGAGCACTAACCCAATTACAAAAAAAAAGATATCCAGATACACAATCCTGGTTTCCTTTTCCAACGTAGGCATTTTTCTCTCTTTTTCAGCGGGCACTTTGCTGTTTTCCAGGATTCTCTAATCCAGGCACTGCGTCGCGAAAAGGAAAAATATCCAAACCACTATTGGCGGGCGTAGGTCACAGCACTGGTAGTTCCAGTACCGCTTCAAGTAAGAGCCGTCTGTTGGACGACTCTGGGGGTGAACCAACTGTTGCTGGTGTTGGTGTTGGTGTCGGTAGTGGTGTTGGTGGTGGGGGTGGTGCAGGTGAAGGAGTAAACGGAGGAGGATTGATTGAATTCACAAGTTCAACATCTGCGAGATACAACAAGCAAGGTAATGCCGTTGTTGCTGTGTCGTCACGTCTGTCCGACGGGAAACCCGAGGACATGATGTTGCTGGAGAAACAGGGTAGAAGTTCACAGAGACAACGTATGCAAGAAGGCGAGCCCCGTCGAGCTGGCAGTTTACCACCAAGTTCATTGCCACGTCCGCCACGTGCTCTCAAGTCCAGCGGGAATTCCCGCTACTGTCGGCTGAGCGACACCGAGACCCGGAAAAAATCAGACCCTGGTCCCAGTGTCATTGACACCATTAAGACAACCCGTGACTCGGGTAACTGCACCCTCGAGTACGGAAGATTCGACAGCGGAAAAGGAATGAGGCGTAAAAAATCTGTCGCTGACGCTTTTGTGCCCAACACGCTGAAAAAACCTTCCAGTGGGGAGTACGAACGGCTGGGCGAGGTCGACAGAAAGAAGATGATACTTGGTGGTGGTGGGGACGTTAAACACCGTGAGACTCAAGGTCGTTCGTTGATACCACCGCCTTCAAGACGCATCGGTGATTACGGAAGATTGAGTGACGGAGATGCCAAAGCTACGCTCAGAAAACAAACAGGTGGCTCATCAGTTCGTGGTCTCAGCACTGGTAGCATGGTCAGCAGCAAAAGCGGCGGACGTGACTCTGGAGGCACTGCCAGTAGTGATGCATCTACATCTTCCTTACCGCCTACTAAAGCTCGGTCTATACCAAGACCCAATAATTACCGCATACAATTTTAATTTTATCCCTCAGCTTATTTTATTTTTTAATTATTTTATTATATGTGATTTGATTATTAATTGTATTAGGATGTGGATTAAGATAATAAGAAGGGAATAGATTTAATCGTCAGGCTGTTATATTAAATCAGTTAATCTTTTAGTCTGGAATCTCAAGTACGCCATAATAATTTTTATTCTTTTGATACAATCATTTTTAATTATTATTTTGGTGAAATAAATTTAAAAAAGAAATCCTCGATTAATGTTGTACCTAAAAATTTTTTGTCAAATTATAATAATACTTTTACGTACATAGATATTTATGTTAATAATTATAAAAACTAGTCATTACCAAAGTAATAATTGTTTTTACGCACAATGAAAATTAATAATTGTTTATCGATAAATTTATCTTCCATTCAATATTGACTAATTAATCAATAAGGTAATTAATGAAGTTTTTTTATAAAAGTGCCTTTTTCAATGACTACATTTGGTCAGTACAACTCACAATTCTGTGCCTTTCTGTATAAATATTGATATTGAGTATTTACAAAAAAAAAAATTATTAATAATGATCTTTTATAGTTTAGGATTTCATAAGACTGAAAAATGAATATTGACGCAATTAAAATTGATTTTTCTTTTTAATTAGCTCTTTATTTTTCATACAAATGAACAAAAAAGTAACAATTGTATTGATAATGATAATTTAAATTAAAACTGCTGTACCAAATTGAAACAATAAGTCGACGTGGTAAATTAGACTGTAAACCAAAGGTCGATCCTTTTCTTATTATTTTATTTATCCTATTTCTTATATATTGAGTAAAACCAAGTGATTAGTTTAATAGTAGATTTTAATTATTGTAACCAATATTTATTTGTGTTTGTGTTTATTATTATGTATTAAAAGATAAAAAAAAAAAACTAAACGTCGATAAATTTTTTATCCCAAGTTTTAGGAGCAGTTTTTGATAGCTTTTTGATTTTGTAAATTTGTTCCTTCACATTTTTCATTAAATAATTGATCTTGTCATAGTAATATTATATTCTTCAAATTTATTTAAAAAGAACTCAAACTATAAATTCTGCACAAAAAAAATAAAAATACAAAAATTACATTTTATTGTATAACGTAGCACTTAATAAAAAAAATACTGGAAAAATTACAGTTTCAGATTATAATTTTTAAATCAAAATTGAATTTTAGTAAAAATTTTAATTTAAAATTGTAATTTTTCCAATCTTTTTTATGAAATGCTACGTTATACACTGTAAAATATAAATTTTGTGTTAATAATTTTTATATTAAATATTTAACACTTTTTTGTGTTGATTTAACAGAATAAATGTTAAATTTACACATAAAAGTGTTAAATATTTAACACAAAAATTTTTAACATTAATTTTTCTGACCACAATGACGCAAAATTTTTTACTTTGTATTGTTATATTTTGCATGTGATTAAAAATATTGACAAAATCAAACCAAAGTTTCTTTGTTTACAATCCGTGATTCTCGGCAGTCAACACGTACACAGAAAAAAAAATTTCTTCCATGAAGAAAATTTTAAGGAAGACAAAAGTTATTTTGGAGCAAGAAGAAATTTTCTTGGTTCAAAAAACTTTGACTTCATTCAAGAAATTTTCAATCTTCATTAATATTTTCTTGAGCCAAGAAAACTTACCCTCCAGTCAAGAATTTTTTTTTTTTTTCAATGTAGTACTTTTGCAGGTTGCTAATACATATTCTCACAATATAAGCTAAATCCCTTGATCAATATAACGTAAGCCACCAAATAAGAACCATCTTAATGAAATCAGCCGAAACTAATCGAAGCTATCAATGCCGCTACACTAGAGTAGAGACTATAGACCCGATCTCTCATCTGGAAATCGCGCCTACTCCAAAGTGATCCGGGATATCGGTAGCACACGAGTGTACTATAAAAGTATTTATGTTATTTCTCTTACTCTGTTCGCCGTTTTCCGAGTATAACAACTTGGTGCCAATGTCCAACAAGTTGTCGTTGCTTCAGTGTTTCGTGAAAGCAACTCAGACACTCCATAATACCACGCCGTAGAAGCTTTACTTTATCTGAACCTACACAAACAGACACAAACTACACATATACCCATAGACTCAAATGAATAGAAGAGTATATACCTATACTATAGTATACACTACATAGTATATAGCAATGTAATGGCAATAGTAATCGCTCGTGCGAGTTAATCCGCGCGATACTACTCTATACTCTCTCTTACTCTCTAACTACTCGCGTAAGTGATTAATTCACGTTACGTTCACGCAAGCCCGCTAGCTTCAATAATATATACATATATTGGGATTATATATATCGCAGCAGCTTACTCTCATCTCGTTAATGCTGATAAAGCAACTATGATCATTCTATCTACGCATTAAATTTAATGGGAAATGTCATCTCGTAGATTTGATATTTAATATCATGTTATGTAATTATTTGCTAACAAAGATCCGGTTTACAACAAAAAATCTTCCGATATCAAATGATTGAGTTTTTAATTCAATAATACCGAAGCTGATCTTCAGATAAAAATTTTAGTTCTAATGAATTAGTTTAATAATGATATTAATTTTCAAAGAATAATGATAAAATTTTAACTTAGAGTGTAAGTATTTTTGTTTGTATTTGGAAATAGTCCTCATTTTCATCAAAATTTTTTTTCATTAAAATTTTTTCAGAAAAAATTCTAAAGTTTATGGAATACTTATACACAGGAAAAAAAATGTTCTTGAATCAAGTATATAATTTTGAAGAACTTATTCTTTTTGATTTAAGTAAAAAAATTCTTAAACTAAAAAATTTTTACTTGATTTAAGTAAATTTTACTTGATTCAAGAATTTTTCGTCTTGATTCTAGAAAATTACCCTCTTCAAAATTATTTTCTTGGTTCATGAATTTTCCTCTCGAATCAAGTTAATTTTTTTTTCAGTTTATAATTTGAAAAAATTGTCAAGAAAATATACGGAAAAAAGTGCCATTTTTTTACTGCTTGACAAAAAAATTATTTTTTATATTTTGATGTTTTTTTGGTTCTTAGTTCATCAAATCAGTCTTCAAAATTAACAAAATTATCCCTTATTAAATTCTCTATCTGATGATGCACGACTTTTATTTAAGCTCCGTGGACTAACAAGAATGTAACAATGAAAAGAGAAGCGAAAAAGAGGCAAACAGAAGTTTTCAATCGTAAAGCACACTCTAATGCTTCGCATCATAACTCGTGCAAAATCTTATTTCTAAAAATTTTAAATATAAACTCAAAAATTTTAATCTAAATCTTATATGTTAATAATGATTAATCATCACATCAACAATAATTTTTTCCAAGCATAATCACTTTTATGAAAATTATTTTCTCTCAGTGTATCAAATTCCACAGAATTAATAGTTTATTTATGGACAAAAAACGTCCAAGTTTATAATATTTGAGTAATAAACTGTACACACGTGTAATAACAGCTTATTATGCTGTATATTTATTGGCTATTGATCTTGATCGGTGTATGGCGAGTGCATAACAGTAGCCAGTAGATATTTACGGGCAAAAAGAGTCGAATGTTGTCATCGATGGAATTTCCGCAAATTTCCGCTGCGGAAAGGCCGCACCTGATTTACCATCGGCACTGTTACTATGTACTGTACATACATCGAGAACGGCACCTCATGCTCATGCTTTGCGCGACAGTGGCAAGTAGTCATACATAGATACAAATATCTATACATACATGTATAATCCTGTGTACGAGGTGCATGCTACATACCGTTGAGCAGTCACGCATACTGCATGTCCGTGAAGAATAGTATGTGTGGATGCGGATACAAATACACTCTCAGGTACGTCACAGTGATGCGACGTTGCATGAGGACAAGGTGTGTGGTGTGTGGGGTGTTGTGGTACGTTGAGGAATCACAGAGCCGCGGAGGCTACGCACCGTTGCCAAGTTGTACTTGAGCCTCTATATCTGAGCCTGAGTATGTATATGAGTGTAGTGAGCCAAGTAGAGAGTCGAACCGCTTTTCCGTCAAGCATTGCGGCTCCTCATCGAATCCACGTTGATTGCAAAATAACATGTTTGTCCAAGAAAATTTATCTTTAAATTTTGAGACCATTTCTGAAAATTTTTACATAAATTTCTTTGAAAATTTACAAAAATCATTTTTTTTCAACCTTCGGAGGGATGAAAAAAGTAAACGAAATATTTATTAAGATCGTACAAAAGGGATCGTTAATAAGAAAAGAACTAATAAAAAAATACTTTGAACAAAAGTTGTAGAGCACAAAATTTTACATCAAAATGATCTATTGATTTTTTTTCTTAATTTACTTCGTTCCCTTTATTTATTGCATCAAAGTTAAAAAATTGTAATTTAATTATCGTACATTCTGTTTTAATAATTGAATCGACTTATTATTATTCAGCAGTTGATATGAGTTAAAGAGTAAAGAGACATGAAAAATTGCGGGTGCAGATTATTACTTTCATATTTTTTGTTATTTCTCCGCAAAAGTCCGAGTAGCGCACGTCAAACGTCGACATACGCTCCAATGAAAGCTTTTTGTAATCTAAGTTTTTTATTCGGTAAAAATCCCAAACCCAAACTTTAACTTGTGTAGTGCATGGCCATACATGTATATATATGCACTACTGCGAACGAAATCTTTCCCGTTCGTTCACTCAGGCTTGCCGTCGGAATAAAATTTCATAACTCTGTATATAATGAGAGAAAAATAGAAGAAATGGAATGAATAGATGTGGAAATGCAAAAGAGAGTATAAAAAAATAATAAAAATGAGAGAGATAGAGATCTTGAATCTAGAAAAATTTATACATACATTCATATTGTGAAGGAGTAAACACGATCTATACCAACACCAAGAACCAGTATTCAAATGTTTATATAATAATATTATAATATATAAAATACATCAAAAGTATTTCATAGATAATATATAGCCAATAATA